CATGATTTCAATTTGCAGTTATCGATGTTTGCATTCAGCAAACTTTCAATAGTTATTTCCCTTTATCCATAAAATTGTAGAAAAAACAAGTAGACATATACACCATTGTATGACTTTTCGCAACTAGTATAATTCAAAAAAAGAGAAATGTTTGTTGACACATATGGCAATACACACATCATTTTGCAAATTAAATATCTGGGTATATCTTTAATGAATTGATGAAATTCATGTACCATTGATAAGATACAATTAATGTTCACCTCACTGCACTATTTTGTGTACACTCACAAAGCACAGGTAGAGAAGAGGTTGAAATATAGTTATCCAGCCAGTAGCTAAAGGAATTTAATTCCTTTTGTTAAATTTTTACCCCAAAACTGGTCTAGGTCATGACATATGTCATCAATACACCAAATATTAAAGACATGTCAATGGTTTGGATTTTAAATATGTACAAGAGTGCACATGCTGAAATGTTTGGCCTGCTTTACTTACCGCATGATGGAAGATATGTTGATAATCTGTATCATGAAGCTTTTAATACAAGTACAATGTATCACATAAACTTAACATTATCAATGATCAATGTAAATGAGGTCAATGTCAGAGGAACCCTAATAGACATGCATGTTTATCTGCAGTTATTCCACACACCAAATATAGCTGACCAATATGATAGTATTTGTTAAACAGACATGAATATTAATCAAAAGTGCTTGTGAGGATTGAAGGGTAAAAATTGCTTTCATTTTGCAATGTGAACATAAAATTAAATATAGTATTGCAATTTGCATTTAGCCAAATTATAAATTTTGAACTGGAGTTATCTTCCTTTGTTCAATATTGTACATTTGTAGTTGAAACTATTTTTTTAAAAAGATTTATACACCACACACAACTTATGTAATTAAAACAGTTTTCTTTTTTGTTTGATTTGTTTTACGTTTGTTATTTCAGGGCCTGTTATAGCTGACTATGCGGTATGGGCTCATTGTTGAAGGCCGTACTGTGACCTATAGTTGTTAATTTTTATGTCATTTGGTCTTGTGTGGAGAGTTGTCTCATTGGCAATCATAGCACATTTTCTTTTTTATATGGTTATTCAAATACACATCATTTTGTAAACTTTAATATCTGAGTATAACATACCATGAATTAATTGCATGAAATTGCCTGGATAGAATTTAAAAAATGCTCAGTTCACAGCACCATGTTGTTTAATTATCTAAGGTATCAGTAAACCCTGGAAGATATAGATATCAAGCCAGCTACATCAGAGTTTTAACTGCATGAATGCAATCTTTACCTTAAAATCGAAATTGATCATTGAAATATGAAAATGAGGTCAACATGGTCAAGGTCTGATGAATCCTGCCAACCACACATAACACCTTACAATTATACCATACACCAAATATAATTGACTTATTGCTTTTAGTATCTAATACAGACAAAATCGTGAAAATTTAACATTGACCAATGAACCATGTAAATGAGGTCAAGGACATAAGAAACCTACCAGACAGACATGTACATATTACAATCATTCTGTACAGCAAATGAAGTGTCTATACTGTTGTGTACATGTATATATATATATATATATATATATGAGAAATAGACTGAACCACAAAAACTTAACATCATCCAATGAACCATGAAAAAATGTCAAGGTCAGATTAAACCTGTCAAACAGAAATGTACAGCATACACCAAATACAGCTGAATGATGTATTGCTTATAGTATCTGAGAAACAGACAAAACCACAAAAACTTAATATTGACCAATAACCATGAAAATGATGTCAAGGTCATAAGAAACCTCCAAGACAGACATGTACATCTCACAATCGTTCCATACAGCAAATATAGTGGCCCTAATCATGCTAATAGTTATAGTATTTGAGAAATAGACCAAACCACAAAACTTTTCAATGTATTTTTGCTATTATGAGAATTGAGTATTGATGGCAGATCTTCCAGAGATTGGAATTTATTCACTACATGTTTATATATAGACTTTCGAGGTTGATATATGGTTGATTGATTGTTGATGTCCAGTTGAGTTTGATATATTGTAAAGACAACTTTATATTGACATAATTGTTGAAAATTATTTTGACCATTCAATAGTATACCCTAAATTGCCTTTAATTCATTAGCATAGTTACCAATGAAAACATATTCCTAGTAAAATATTAATAGTAATACTAAACTCTGAAAGTTAGGAAAAATATGGGCAATATTGAGTGACAATACTCTTGAAAAATAATATTTCTAAACAAACTGTTGAACGTAGAAATCAGGTATAAGGATATATGAAGTTATAAAAATCAGCACCAAGAAAGTATTAATTTCTGCTTCCAGAACTTGTAACAGCTGACTGGCAAGATGTTTTTTTTATCAAAAGCCTTTTTATCTTCCTACTGTTTCTGTTTTAAGGAGTTGTCTGATTTAAAGACTTCTGTGTAATGGGAATTTGATAATTTGATGAAAAAAGAAAGAAGGTAGATCTGGACCTTTGTAGCATTAGCCCCAATCAGATTTCCCATATTAGTTATGCCAATGGTTTTTAAGATATGAGACAATTACCAGGCAGTGTTCTCCCCAGGATTTTTGGATAGCACCAGGGTAACGCATGTCAAAATGATTTGTACAATATGTCGTGTCGCGTTGCATCGCTTTTTTTTTTCTTGTTAGTTTTTGTGTCATTACCTTTTTGTCTTTGTTTTGTTTACTGTGTTATGTAGACTTTGGGTCAAAAAATTACTGGTAAAATAAGAAGTAAATCAATAAACAGTTTGTATACTTTAATTTCTTTAAAGAATAAATAAAAGAAAGCACTATTAGTCTTTAAACTTAAGTCACTTTTTATATTTTGATCAAGCCAATTTGTCCTGATACTTGTAGTTACACTACACATTCCCCATTTTTTTTAGATTACACCATAACAATTAAATTTAAACAAGATTAAATTTTAATGCAGAACCTCTAGTAAATTAAAAACTATTTTCCATAGCTTTAGACATGATTCTTTTAATCAACAATACAATTATTATTAGAATCATTATTTTGTTACTTGGTAGACAGACATGAAAGAAAAAATATATCATCTATCTGTACACCCATATATCATATTAAGCTGAGTTCCAATCAGTGTCTAAAGACTGGGACTACTTTAACACAAATCAGTTACCAAGTGGAAAATACTACCTATTTATTATAATATGTCTGTGCATTAATAAAAGTATGATTATCAAAAATAATTTGCAATATATTTTTGTTGGTATGTTCAAAGAAAGTTTTTATCCTTAAAGTAACATTCTTATATAATTTTGCATTGAATTTGTACTTTATTTCTATTTTCAATGATAGATAATATTTTAGGAGCACTTATTTGTAATAAGCTAAATCAGGGGAAGTAACTTCAACATGTTTAAAATACGCAAATTATTTATAACCAAAGGCTAGAGTAATAGAGTTAATTAACAAATGTCTGCTTGTCCCTCACAAGTCTGATCATTAATTATGATCTCTTAATTAATTAAAACACAAAAGAATCATGTACATCGATTAAATCCAATCATCAAGGTTAACCTCAAAAGGTAAATGTAAACAATCTAGTTGTAAGAACTGGATTGAACTGGTTTGAACTGGTCAATTTTCATCTGAAATTTTATACCCCACGGAAAAGGTTTAACAAGTCGTTTAAAACTTTACCGATTTATGATTTTTTTACCGAAAATTTTAGCACCACGGAGAAAAATTATACATCGCGGCAAGAACGATACCACCATGACCACCACGGAAGAAAATTATACATCGCGGGCCCGCGGTCCTTTAAGGGCCTGGGGAGAACACTGCCAGTAATGGATTTTACCCTTATGTTCTATCTTTCGCCATGACACCCATATATTTGTTGATTGTCCAGACTAAATACAAACTTCATTCTAGATTCACTAGATACACATGTACCCTAAGGATCATTTGCCCCAAGTTTGGTTGAAATTGGTAAAGTACTTTCATAGGAGACGATCTTGAAATGTTTTACGATGGATGTCAAGTGATGACAAAAGCTCTGAAATGCAAGTGTAAAAAAATATAAATAAAATAAATCCAGTATTGATTTTATTTGATAAAAGCTAAAAGCACTTGCTTTTGGCTTATTGCACATTTACTAACAAACTTGATTCAAGTGTTTAACCATGGACAATATGTTCCAAAACTCCTTGTCTAATTAAATGTTCACATTCTGATCGCAACAGAAAATGCTGGCTATTTTTCTTCAATAATATTATGTTACCATCTTGAGTTTCAAATTCACCATGGTCCATCAAGCACCTAACTTCAATGAATAAAGTTTTTGGTGGTTTGAGATCTTGTGTAAGATCAAGTCCCCCATGGTCTCCTATAGACCTCATATAGTTTGCAAGCATTTTGTTATATTTTCCAAACCACTGGACTTCTTGTTCACCCAGATTTAACTTGACATCAGAAGGCAGTACACTACCAAACTCCCATCTCATCTTCTTTATGTGTTGTAATCTGTTATAAATATATGCTAAAAGACACCTTTTATTCCTCTCTAAAGCAGCATGGCGTAGCTGTACTCCTGAAAACAAACCATTTTCTCCAGCAACTGTGGCACTAACATCTTTCTGATTTTGTTCAAACAAAGCTTTCATCTCCTCCAACACGTGTCTGGCTGTATCTTCGTTATATGGTCCAAGTGTGCTATCAATCGTTCGCTGTAACTCAGCAATCAGCTCTAAAGCTTTTTCTGCTAACATTTTGACGAGGATCAGTGTTTACGGGTGTTTAACAACTTGAGTTCCCGCCATTTTTCATTCCTTCGGTAAAATCTTTTTCTAAAGCATTTCTGATTCTAAATGATGTTAAGTCGAGAGGAGCCCCGACTGAAAATTAACCTGGGATCCCTGGCTCACTGTTTTGCTGCCGACGCAAAGCACAGATTAGGACCCAGACCGAGATGAAATCACGTGATACCAATGTGACTTTTGGAAAATTATTTTCTCCCGGGGCGAATAAAGTGATGTGGTTTTAAATAAAGCTGCATAACTTTGAAGCGGTTAGCAAGTACAAAAGAAATCTATGCAGATTATTAAGTACATAATTTTGGACGTTTTCAACCTTCATTAATCTCGTTGATTTATTTATATTATCTACTGTGACACCTGTTTTCCCTACACCAGTGGAATAGCCCATCAATGAAAATGTAATTTGATAAGGGGCACTCTTAGATGTTGTGTGTGTGAAGATTCTACGCAAGTGTTTGTGCACGTAGGCCAAAATCCAACGTGGAACTTTCTAGTGATTTCTCAGAACCTTCATATTACTTAATTGGAACTGAAGTTGTCATTCACTATTGGACAAATTGTTAAACAACAAAGTTTTAAAGACTAACTCAGAACAATGACAAATCAGAGGTATTTGTTGTTGCTTATTTGCGTGGCATCAGTTGTCAGATGTGAACTGTTTACATCTTTGGCCCACATGGAAAGAGCTTTATTTGCTGAGAGAGAAATTTCTTCAAGAATAAAAGAATATGTGACAGAAGAAAAACAAAGACTGGATGCCCTTTCCAGGTGAGAATACCACTTTTTAACTTAAAACTTGCGCACAAAACATATTCATGTATAATAATAGTAGCTAAAACAGACTAAGACTAACTGAGGCTAGTACCTTGCAGGGGTCCAGATCCAGCCATTTTTAAAAGGGGGGTTCCAACCATGATGTCCCCATTCAAAAGCATTGATCGTCCAAAAAAAAGGGGGGGGGTTCCAACCCCTGGACCCCCTCCCCCTGGATCTGCCACTACCTTGTTTCAAGTCCGGTAGGTTGTCAACCTGGCATGTCATGATATATAGCTAGCTGATCATTGGATTATTTGGTAGATACATGTACAAAGTAGAGTAACATATGTAATTGTTGTACATAAATGTGCTTAAAATGTAATTAAATGTTAGATTTTCCTAGATTCATCTTTAAAAGGATGTAAAATATTCAATTAAAGCTTACGGTCAACTTACTAATTTTCAAATAAGAAAAAACTTAAATTATTTGGTAATGTGTACGCCATGTACATGATGAACAAATGTGAGCCGACATTGAATAAAAAAAAATTTACTTAGACAAATTTTTGAAAATTAAAATTTTTTGTCAGCAATTGACATGATTGACAAGTTTTTAGATAACATTTACTTAACAATAAAATGACAAATGGGTATTCATGCCTTCTTCCTTTGATCCTTGGTCACTGGACAGAATCCAGGTCCGTTCCCCCAAAATCAAGTTCGCTCCCATTCACATTCACTCCCATTCACGTTCGCCCCCTTTCACATTCGCACCCTTTTCATGTAAAAATAATCATACATAATTAACATTAATAATTAATCATCAAATCACAAAAAAAAAAGATGTTTCATTTAAAAATTCCAGAATTTTCATTAATGAAAATTTAAATATTTTGATAAATACATCTAAAAAACATCTAATAATTCAATCAGTATTTGAATAAAAATAGGGTTTGAATGAACCCAGAGGGCGAACATGTATTGGGAGCGAACGGACCCGATACCCACTGCACATAAGCTTGTTGTCTCCTTGCAATCATAGAAAATTTCTTTTAAGTATTTAGATTTTGATATGGTATTGTGATATGACATTGAAATACAATTTTGTACATATCATATATATTATCCCAAAGTCTTCTTTGGTAAATGTACATGCCCAGTAAGGATTCTGACAGTAATGAAGTTTTAAAGTGAATTATTTATCACTGGATGTTAAATAGATAAATCTTAAAATTGCTGCATTTACATTGGTACATGTACATTTTTGTATCTCCAAAGGTTTGTAATTATCCATATGTACAATGTATAAAATATATATATTTTAAATGCTTGATTTTGTAAAGTTGAAAATAGGATTATCATTTTCCATGTACATGTATCCTATCTGACATTTTCGCTCAAAACATCTTATGCTCAATGATCAGGAAAATATAATTGTAGAAAATTGATATGAATACCAAATGTTACCAAAAGAATAAATATGCTATTTTATATAAAACATATCTGCATCTTTAATTCTTACATTTGTACTAAAGTCCTTCTTTTTTGTTTTTGATTCAAATGTGTCATTTTTTAAACGTTTACAGCCTAAAATCATTCAGCTTCTACCTTTTGTATTATTCAAAATTATTTTCCATGGAAGAATATTGTACAAAAAGTAAAAATACCAAACTCCAAGGAAAATTCAAATTGTAAAGTCCCTTATCAAATGGCAAAATCAAAAGCTCAAACACATCAAACGAATGGGAATTAATGGTGATATTCCGGACTTGGAACAGGCATTTCCTTATGTAGAAAATGGTGGATTAAACCTGGTTTTATAGCTACATTGTACGGGGTAGCTAAACCTCTCACTTGTATGACAGTCGCATTAAATTCCATTATATTGACAACAATATGTGATCAAAACAAACTGAATAATAGGTAAACATGTCAAAAATAGGAGTAAAGCAGTCAACATTGTGTTATAATCTTAATCTCTATAAAGACAAACAAATATGTCAACAAAGAAAAACAAAATGGCATATAGACAAAACACACATGTTTACTTTATGATTTTCACACATAGATATGATCAAAGAATTATTATGATATTATGATATAAAAAAGTTTTATGCCTTTATTGATAAAAAGATTATGGTTTAGAAAATATTGTCTTTGATGATTTGATATACTGTAGATTAAGGATTAATTAAATGATAATCACATGATAATGGTAGGGGAAATGTTGACTTGTCTTTGATTTAAAAATGTAGATTATCTTTGAATTATAGAAGCATTGATAGATTTATGTATCTTTAAATCCAAGCGAAAATAGAACATGCATGTTAATGAGATATACATGTAAATTGTACTCTGCAGATGCAGATCCAGGATTTTGAAAAAAAGGGGGGCCTGGGCCCAAAACAGGCAACGTTTGGAGTGGGACATGTAAAAAGTCTATGCATTAATCATATATGAACATTGTAGCTCCATAAGGAGGACCCTGGCCCCCTAAATCGGCCTCTGCTTTGTACAAAATTGACACGCTGAGTTAGATTTTCAAGTTGTATCTCACAGGGTAATCGCCCGGTATCAGTCCAAAGGAAGACCAAAATACAATGTACATGTATACTGAACCTGTCTCACATTGTCTCACCCTGAGGTAATATCAGCCAAGTTCTTTGTTATGCCAGAAAAGTCTACGATAGTAGATCGTCAATATGTTTTCCTTTCTGTGCGTCTATCTATATCCTGATCCTGTATCAGATGAAAGTTTTGGTTCATGGTAGTTTGTGCTCAGACCAACTTGCAATTTCATTCCACAGTTCATAATTACAATGTAATAAAACTATTCTATATTTGTGTCAAATAAGGGTTTTTACCCAGATTTCACTTTTCGCTGAACATGGAAATGTGATTATGCGAGGCAAACATGGTGTTCTATGGACACATACATGTATTCTTGTTTTATAATGTTTGTTTTTTAGGTGTATATGAGCATTGTATAATATATAAAACATTCTTTAGTTGTTCACTCTGCCTCAGGTCTATATTACTGTCCTTTTACAAATCATTTATCAACTTGTTTCATGATTAGGATAATTATTTGACACATTCAAGGTACATAATTACATCTGTTGACAATTCTAACAGCATTCTTCTAAGTTATCTTACCACAAAATTGTTAGCAGAATAATGAATTTTCTCTCGTTTTATGGAAATATCTATAAAATGATGCTTAAATAAAGATGATATTGAAAATAGACTTCCGTGTAATGGGAATTTGATATTTATTTTGTTCATTATAAGGTGCTTTTAATTATAGCAGTTTTGGTCTGTATTGATTGGAATTTACATTGACAGACAGTTCCGTGGGTGACGGAAATGAACAGAGAATTAGGCTATAATCCTTATAATTGAATTTTATGTATATTTTCAGGTTAGAAATAAAATGGAGATAAAATGGAGATAAACAAGCTTCAGAACTTTTCTTAAAAATAATTGTCTATTTTATTTGTGAAGATGATTTTTATGGCTGAGCTAAATATTTTAAAATCCTGCACAAAGAAGCTTAAGAAAGAGATGGGAAATGCAGGGAAAAGTCTTTAAGAAGGAAGTGGGAACTATTTGAATTAAAAGATGATAGTCTGTGTCCTCTATCAATTTCAATAAATAAGGGGGGGGGGGGGGGGGCTTCTGTGATGTATAAGGGATATGGAACATTGTGGAATGAGCAAATGGAGTTTCATAACCTTTTTTTTCAATCTATTATAGAACGAAATTAAATGTGTGAAAATGAATATTTAACTAGCACATTGCATTGTGGTATGAAAATATACATGTAACAATGCAATAATAATACATGTAAATGTGCATGCCCCTACATTGTAATCTAAATATATATTTTTGTTTATCTGCAGCCTGCTGAAATGTATATACGCCATGATTACAATAGCAGTAATCTGTACTAGATAAAATTTCTTGGTACATTTTGTATTTTACTCATGCATATGATATGTATCCTGAATAAAATGTAAAGATGTTGAATTTTGCGGTACATTTTGTATTTTACTCATGCATATGATATTTACTGTGGATTAATTGTAAGGATGTTGCCACTCGGCAAATTAATCACTGAACTACTTAATTTATTTGAACCTTCATGAATAACTGGGTTTGTTTGTTCATTTCATTGTCATTGAGTCTACACATTCCTTGAGACACATTCCTAGCATCTTTAATTTACAGGTATCTGTGTATAATTAAACAACTTGTGTGGTTTCTTTGTCTTTTCACACTTGCTGTGAAAGTAGTTTCAAAAGTAAGAAAAAAGAAAGAACTTGAGAGTAACATGGGGGGAGTTTGGATCAGGGATACCCTGTTCAAGTCAAGTTATGTATGCATGAAGCAAACAAAATGCAGCTTAACTCTTCAGTACATGGCTCTTGTTGATGTTATTTACATTTATTTTAAATACACGATGTATAGATCACTTCTTCCTGAAAATAGGATAAATAACTTGCATATTGAAGCTTGTTGATGTTATCTACATATATTTACATACATGTATACTGGTCCACTTCTTTATGAAGTTTTTGTTTAAATGTGAAAATATTTCCTATTATTTGCAAGGAAGCTGATCAAGTTAGGGAGGTTGTGGTTGGATCCTTGTCCAAGAAGAATCTTTTAAATTAGTCCTTGCTGCTTCTTCCCATAGCATGCAGCAATTAGGAGTTACGTACTGAAAGAACAAAGGCCAGGTCACAATTTAATTTTGACAAATGAAGAAATGACATACAAGTGAAATGGACCACACATTGATTGAAAAAAAATAATCAACCAGTCTGAAAGTATAAATCTGGTTAGAATTAAAGAAAGACCAATTCAAAAAAAGATAAACACAGCTTGATATTTGTAAATTCTTCTTTGTTTCAGGTTAGCTGATGAGTTAGAGACACACAGTTCTAAAGCTTTAGAGAATACAGATTTTTACTTGGGGAACCCAGTCAATGCCTATCTGTTTGTCAAGAGATTTACAGTTGATTGGGAACGACATATTGAAGATATTTTAAAATGGAAGCCAAATGAAGGTATGAAGTGCAAAAAATACACACACAACTTAAGGTCTAGATGGGGGTCCTTCAATTCTATAAATATTTAGGTAATTTTTCTCTAGTCTTTATATATTTTAGCCTTTATTCTGCACTTTTTACCTATAACTCTCTATTCTGTAAACCTAATTCAGACCCTCACAACTGGTGTAGAATCTATTAATATCCCGGTAACTGGTACAGATTTTGAATTAAAGTGGTACAAGTTTTATGTGCAACTCAATCAGGATCAAATGCTTAATTTTGTAAAATTTTGATTTTATACGGTGGCTCAAAGAATGGGGTATGACCTAAACCATAGCAGCCCTAGGGCACCCAATGTGAGACTAGTTTATAAGCAAGATCAATATAATAAAATGATCTGCACACTGTGTGATTTTCTTCATATACCATATTAAAGCTAAATACTAAAGGCAAGAGCAATCAAGTGACTTGGATTAGGAAAAAGGAAGACAATATGATACAGGTAATAGATTGATGCCAGACATGCTCCTAGTTGATGTTTTAGATGGATCATCATGGACCCTCCTTTCACAAATTACTGCATTGTATGGGACATTTAAACACTTAAAGTCAATAAATAAGCATAAGGGCATAGATAAAGAGTGTTTTTATCTTCTAAAATGGTTGCAGTGGAGACAAAAAGTAGGCGTTACAGGTTGTAATGTATAGCAAAGTTGTAAAAATAGTAACATGAGCACATCAGTTTTTTATGATTGCTTATTTTATGCCTAATTCCACTACATTGGATAAACACTTTTTATTGCCAGCTTTAATCCTTTCAGTGGATTCCATGAATAAATTCAGAACAACATATGTCTTCCAAAAAAATATGGTTAGAAATATCGTATACCAACTTATTTTCCAGGATACTTTATTTCGCATTTATTTGTTTCTATCAGAATATGCAGCAATTTTATTCTTGTGATTTTCACATGTTCCTCATCTATCAATATTAGGGAATAGTCATATGCGTGACGATTTATATTCACATTATTTTCCACTTTCAAAAATTTAGCAGTTGATTAACAATTTAACAGTATATATATCAGGATGAAATTTATCTAAAATTTGAATATTTAAATAAATTCATCAATATTCTGTTGTGTGTGTGTCCATCCCCCCCCCCCCCCCCAAATGAACATGATAGCAAACCCCAAAATATGTACAAGTTTTGGTCATTGCAAATTATAACAAGTAAAAAATGTTGATACTACATTTTAAATTGATGGAATATTAAACAAGATTATGTTTACAAGTCATGATTTTCTGCAATTTTGATTTTGTTTGAATTTAAGACATATATCAATTTGCAAGCATTTGGCATTTCAGCTTAAGATTAATAGACTGTTGCATTATATTAAACATATGCATTTAAGTAACAACTGTTAAAATTTCTCTTCCTGGTCATTGATCATTTAATGGTGCATTTGTGCATAAAAGATATCAATGCACATGTACTAAATGTTATATGCAATAAGTTGTTATGCATGAAAACAAGCTATGGTTCAATATACCAGAGCAGACTTTACTAAGCTGATAATGGTACCCAGTTGGCTCATGAAAGTGCAATTTTTTCAAAACAAAATACTGGTAGTGATTGTCATATTTGAATAAAAGACTATTACTTTGGATTAAATGTACAAAGAAACCCTATTACAGCAGAACATTTTTAACTATGAAAATCAATTATTTTTATTACAAATGTCCATGAAACGTCCATTTATTAGACATGTTAGATGAAAAGAGGATTTTCCTTTAATATTGTCAGGTTTTTAATGTTAGATCTTGGATAGATTACAAAATATCTTCAGGTAAAGCTAAAGTATGTCAATGAAGGTGTTTAAAAAATTTAATGTTTTAATTTATTATCTTGACATACATGCACAGATGTACATTGCAAAGACCTAAATGTTGACCTCAAAATTTATTCAGCTGTTTTGTTATCATTTAGTGCATACAGTTGTGTATCCTCATCTTTTATTCATTTGCTGAGAATATCTATATTATGTAGTGGGATATCAATTTTCGTGGAATTTGAGGGTTTAGGTTAAAACCATAAACTTTAATATTCAAAGAAGCACAATTTTCAATAGTTTTTGTCAAGCCTGCGACTTTTGTCGCAGAAAGCTCGACATAGGGATAGTGATCCGGCGGTGGTGTTAGCTAACTTCTTAAAAGCTTTATATTTTAGAGGGTGGAAGACTTGGATGCTTCATACTTTGTATATAGATGCCTCATGTTACGAAGTTTCCGTCAGTCACATGTCCAATGTCCTTGACCTCATTTTCATGGTTCAGTGAATACTTGAAAAAAAAGTTAAGACTTTTTGTAATGTTAAATTCTCTCTTATTATAAGTAATAGGATAACTATATTTGGTATGTGCGTACCTTGCGAGGTCCTCATGCCCGTCAGACAGTTTTCACTTGACCTCGACCTCATTTCATGGATCAGTGAACAAGGTTAAGTTTTGGTGGTCAAGTCCATATCTCAGATACTATAAGCAATAGGTCTTGTATATTCGGTGTATGGAAGGACTGTAAGGTGTACATGTCCAACTGGCAGGTGTCATCTGACCTTGACCTCATTTTCATGGTTCAGTGGTTATAGTTAAGTTTTTGTGTTTTGGTCTGTTTTTCTTATACTGTATGCAATAGGTCTACTATATTTGGTGTATGGAATGATTGTAAGGTGTACATGTCCAACTGGCAGGTGTCATCTGACCTTGACCTCATTTTTATGGTTCAGTGGTTATAGTTAGGTTTTTGTGTTTTGGTCTGTTTTTCTTAAACTGTATGCAATAGGTCTACTATATTTGGTGTATGGAATGATTGTAAGGTGTACATGTCTAGCTGGCAGGTGTCATCTGACCTTGAACTTATTTTCATGGTTCAGTGGTCAAAGTTAAGTTTTTGAGTTTTGGTCTTTTTTTTTAATACTATATCATGTATATGGTCAACTAATTATTTGGTGTATGGAAATATTGTATGATCTATATGTCAGTCGCGCAGGTTTTATTTGACCTTGACCTCATTTTCACGGTTCATTGGTCAATGTTTAGTTTTCTTGGTCAATGTTAAGTTTATCTGACAGTTGTAATAAAGCTTTATATTTAGGACTATCAACATAATATCAATGATTAGTAAAGAAGGCGAGAAATTTCAGTGTGTGCACTCTTGTTTATGCAAATTTATAAGCAAAATAATTAAACCACAAAGTCAAATATTCACAAAAATACAATTTTTACTAAATTTGGGTAACTGGTACCCACGATAAAAATGAATCCACAGTATCCTAGTTTTCAAAAATATATGGAGTTTCGGAATTTTTTTTGGATTCTTGAAGCCCATGAAATGAATATTATTATTGATTATCCATCTATTTATATTTAGGAGATACGATTACAGTTGACATTTGTTTATTTGTTCCTTACAGACTGTCAGTTTTATAGAAAATTGATGATTCACATATTATTACCAACTTTATTACTTTTAAACAATCCTCAAACGGTATGTTGTAGTTGAAATATAAATAATTTAGTGGCCATTAGCTGGAATGGTTTTTGGGAGTGATATGACAAGGATAAGGGCACCAGGGAATGAGGGGGTGGGAGTCATGGTGCAGGAACTGGGAGAAGATGGGGAGTAAAACATTAGGATATGCTGGATAAGTTTCTATGACTAATTTTCGTTGGGGAGTAAGAAGGGGGGAGTTGGAACCAGTGACCCCCTGTCCACCCCCTGTTTTATCCTAATGTCAAATTCATTGTAGACCTGCACATTTAAGAAGTCACGATTCCAAATAAACACTCAATTAACATAAGATGTACTAGACTTAAAGTCATGCATGAAGCAAACAGGTTACGGCCTAACTTTTCAATTCATGATTAAAATAAACTTTCTAATGATAATAAATAGTTAGTGAACATGAGTAATCCTAAATTAATTATGCTTTATTTGATCAATGTGGGGATTATCAAAATTTGTTTTTCATTTGTTGTTTTTTTTTTTCCACAGAATTTAATGATAAAATAAACCAGTTGAAAGAGTATTTGCCAACTTATGAAGATTTAAATGGAGCAGTAGCCGCACTGTTGAGGCTTCAGGACACATACAAATTGGAAACAGAAAAAATAGCGGCAGGAGATATAGCTGGTATTAAAACTACAGAATTGTCAGGTAAGTTTTGCATTAAAAAAAAAAAAAAAAACATAAGCACAAACATTCAATAAAAAATTATATACGAAAAACAACAAACATACACACACACATAATAAAGGAGGGAGTTACTTGTAGTTAAAACAAGACACAATTATCAAACCTTCTGGTTTATACATGAAATACAAAGGTATCTTGTCTAGACTTGATGGCCAATATGGTCTTTTCTTTGAAGATATGTTGTAATAGAAAGATCAAATTTCATGGGTGTACAGTTTTTGCAAGGTTCGCTTGAGACAGATTTTTGTTTTACTTGATATATATATATATATATATATATATATATATATATGTTTTTAACACTTTTTCTTAAACAACTATACACAAATATCTCCAACTTTTACTGCATTTGTACATGTATCACCATAAATTAATCATTGTTATACAGTGATTGATTAATTGATTGATGCTTAAATGCCAGTGACCAATATTACAAGCATATTGGGGATGACAACCATCTCATTATGAACATACACAATTGGTTTTAGAGATTTTAGAAATAGTTGAGGTGTTTATTTCCTGTGATGTTGGAAATATATAAAAATATCAAATACATTGATTGCCAATGATACTACAGTGAACTACCCACCAGAGACCAAATAAAATGAATATAAGCAGCTATAGGTTACAGTACAGCCTTTAACAATGAGCAAACCCATATCATATCTGTAAGGTATTTGAATTATTTAAAAAGACACATTTGTTGGTTATAATTGGAAGTTTTAAAAAAAGTTCTAATACATGTAATACCAATGCATGAAATACTTTTATCATGTTTATATTCTATTTTATTAATTTAGAATATGAATTAATTGTGAAATGTAAAAAGTCATTTTAACACAGAAAGTTTGATTTATTTAGATGCAAATCATTTAATTGTTCACATATATTTAACAATAAAATAACAATGTATGTCCATATGGTCTTGTGAGGAATTGCTAAAATAACACACCTGCTTATTTTCTAATACTGCATGGCCCTTTTGATCATACTCTGAATTCATGATTTTTTTTTAGGGTACCAATTTTCGTGCGTTGTTAAAAAATAGCATTTTGTGGATATTTGAAATCATGGTCATGATGGTTTGGCCAATGTCTATATACAAGACTATAGAAAATATACATATATATATATATATATATATATATATATATATATATATTAAAATTTTTGGTTCACCCTTGAAATCCAGGAAAATTGGTTTCCTAGGAACAATAATGAACCACAGTTATTTTTCGAAATGGTCCTCACTGTCAGTCTTGTAAAGAGACCAGGGTCTGCCATATACATGTAAAACAGTTAGGGGGATTCTCTTTCGTTATTCATAATTTTTCATTGATATTGTTTAACATGTTTGTTATAAGTTTCAAACGAAGTTAATATCTTTTCAGTCAGTAGGAAAAGTATAAAAAATTGAGCTTTGATCTTTTTATTCTTTAAACAGATGTTCGAGTACATAAGCAATTGAATTTGTGAGTTGTGTTTGAAATAAGGTCAAACATATATAAGAAGCTTAAAGTGACCTTTAACTGTAGTAAGAAAATATATATGTAAAAATAACTTTGAATGGATCTGTAGAAAGTAAATTTAATGTGACCTCTAAAATAGGTGACTTCTAAAACAAACCAAAAACAAGCTAAAATGAAAAAGTAATTAAAAGATACCAAGTTAAAAATATATTTTGATTTACTTAAGCTTACCATGAAAAAAGTATCTTCTATGAATGTGACTCCTTATTTATAATGTACTGTGATTTTCCATTCTATGAAATATCCAGTTTAAAATGTGCTTCCATGTTATAATGGCCTATGTATTTTGCTTTTGTGTTGAATTGTATTTAAACGTGAAGCAACATTTCTCAAAGGACATGCTTTACAACAGCTTCCAGTGTTCTCCCCAGGATTTTTTTAAGGCGCAAAATTCAAGGGCGCGTTACTCTTTTTTTAGAGTGAACGTTTGTGATCTGAAGCAATAAGTCATAAATCATGACATGCAATATGAATTATAATGCTTTGTGTTATGTGTTTCATAATGCAGAGTATTAATGAATTACAAGAATATATATATGAAATAAATTGATTTTAAACACAAAAGTTATTTATATTCAGTCAATTAAAGAAGTCAAAATATAAATATTCATCTCTACTCTCTGCTCCTTCTAGGGATATTGTTTCAAGATAGTGTTATTTTGTTGGACAGTCTGTTCCCCAACTTTGTCTTTATCCTCTTCAGGGTTAAAAATTAAACCCCCACTCACAACTTTTGCTTATACCCCCTTAAACATTTCTAAGCCATGAAAACTCAGTCAGCCACTTGTCATTGAAACCAGAAACATGGTGCTTGCTTTTATCAATTGCTAAAACTTGAGCTTGGTTGGGATTAGGAGAAGCAATGACATCTGCTTTTACTGACAGTGTAGATGGAAGTGTATTCCCCTTTTCATTAGACGTCATTGGTCTGAAAAAAACTTCTACTTCCATCATCTACCTTTTGTTTATAATTCACCCCTTTGTTACTTGCAGAGAACATGTTCATTCAGAATTAATAAAATCGAATATGGTTAAGATATTTGGTATACAACTTTTTAAAACAATTTTTTTTATAAATGAACAGCTGACCAGTTTCCGTAGTTTCACATTACGCTTCCGTGCGTATTATTGTTTAATCCTATCTTTGGCAGATAGATATAAACGAAACTTTACAAATTCGTTAAAGTGAAAACCATTGAAATTATTTACCAGTGACATTATACAGAAGCTGCGGCGATTCTGTACCCGTGTTGATTGTCACATATTTCCCGACCCACGGATTCACGATCGATGTTCAATGATCATTTTATTTATAAAAATATGAGTTTCAGAAGAATTTACCTTGCAAGCAACATTTTTTCACTTTCTATTAAATTAAATCACTCCTCGTTATCTTTAATCAAACTTTATTTTAATTTTTTCAACTACTAATACTTTCATTCATAGTTTTCATCGTAAATATCTTGAGCAATGTGTATTCAAATTTATCATGTGTATTCAACACGTTCATTGGTCGTGTTTAAATAGATTCTTCTTCTCGACCAATGAAAAAATTCGTTTTATAAATGGTCAAGTGATCACACACACGATGCGTAAATATTTGCGATCTATTTCTTCAATTTCTGAACTGAAGTTTTTAAAATTTTTAATTTTCTTCAAAAAATATCTATCTTCTTGATGATCATTTACGCTATTACCTGATAACATAGTCCGATAAGGCTGAGATAAGCGTGGCTCAGGTAAAACTAATTATCAGTTATTGCGTAACACTGACCGACCCATCAGCGGTGATCAGTAACTTGACAATTTTAACCAACATATATAATGAAAATGTGAAAATTAACACGCTGCGGGATCAAGTATTAAGGGACAGCGGCCAATTAAGACGCTGCGGGATCTACAAAAATATTATGAAGGCGCTGCGGCACCACAGCGTCATATCGGCCTGGGGAGAACACTGGCTTCATAGGAATACCATATTGTTAATTTGTTGTAGAGAACACACTTATCACAGTTGGAATGCAGGATAAGTCTTTAATTCAGAAAATTTTGCTGAAAACACACCTCAACCCCCCCTCCCCCCCCCCCCCCAAAAAAAAACAAAAACAAAAAAAAACTGAAAACCAATTATGCTAAGAAAAATAATCTTGCTTATGATTCATTTTTTGAATTTGTTTGGTAAATGTATGTTTAAGGGTATAGCATGTTACAATGTACCTAATACCTATAGTTGTTAACTTCTATGTCATTTGGTCTCTTGTGTCTCATTGGCAATCATACCACATCTTCTTATTTATACTAATAGCATGACTTGCACGATTTTCAGCTGTTGATTGTTTTGAGGTTGGCCGTGTGGCCTACAATGATGAAGACTACTACCATACCACTGCGTGGATGAACGAAGCCATGAGTCGATTGGAAAATGAGAAAAATAAAACAGTCAACAAATCAGAAATTATTGACTTCTTGGCTTTTTCTGTATATCAGGTAAATTTATGAAATAATTATGCAACTTTTTATACGACCGCAAAAAATTTTTTGTGGTCGTATATTGGTATGTCGTTGTCGTCGTCGTCATCGTCTGGCGTCGTCCGAAGACACATTGGTTTTCGCACTCTAACTTTAGTTTAAGTGAATGGATCTCTATGAAATTTTACCACAAGGTTCAATATTACAAAAGGAAGGTTGGGATTGATTTTGGGGGTTATGGTACCAACAGTAAAGGAATTAGGGGCCAAAAAGGGGCCAAAAATAAGCATTTTTGTAACTTCCAGACATAACTTGTGTGTTAGTGTATGGATCTCTCTGACATTGTACCACAATATTCCATATCACAAAAGGAATGCTGGGATTGATTTTGGGGGTAATTGCCTCAAAATTTTAGGAATTAGGGGCCAAAAAAAGGGGCAAAAAACAAGCATTTTTCTAGTTTCATGACAATAACTTGTGTGTAAGTGTATGGATCTTTCTGAAATTGTACTACAAGGTTCCATATCACAAAGGGGAAGCTGGAATTGAGTTTGGGGGTAATTGCCAAAACATTTAGGAATTGGGGGCCAAAAAGGGGCCAAAAATAAGCATTTTTCTAGTTTCCAGACAATAACTTGTTTTCAAGTGTATGGATCTCTCTGAAATTGTACTGCAAGGTACCATACCACAAAGGGAAGGCTGGGATTGATGATGGGGGTAATTGCCTAAATATTTTAGGAATTAGGGGCCAAAAAGGGGCAAAAAACAAGCATTTTTCTAGTTTAAGGACAATAACTTGTGTGTCAGTGTATGGATCTTTCTGAAATTGTACTACAAGGTTCCATATCACAAAGGGGAAGCTGGAATTGAGTTTAGGGGTAATTGCCAAAACATTTAGGAATTGGGGGCCAAAAAGGGGCCAAAAATAAGCATTTTTCTAGTTTCCAGACAATAACTTGTGTTCATGTGTATGGATCTCTCTGAAATTGTACTGCAAGGTACCATACCACAAAGGGAAGGCTGGGATTGATGATGGGGGTAATTGCCTCAATATTTTAGGAATTAGGGGCCAAAAAGGGGCAAAAAACAAGCATTTTTCTATTTTCCAGACAATAACTTGTGTTCAAGTGTATGGATCTCTCTGAAATTGTACTGCAAGGTACCATACCACAAAGGGAAGGCTGGGATTGAGTTTGGAAGTGATGAATCATAAGGGGGTTCAAAAAATTTGGGGGGGAGGATTTTTTTTATTTCTTTTTTTTCTTTTTTTCCTATTTTTTCTTTTAAAATTTTCCATTTTAAGTTGGTTATTTCTGATTTATATTTAAAAGCAAATAATAATGATATGGTAGGAGATACACACCAAACAGGATGTGTAAATTATTATATAATAAGTATTGTGCAATAGCAAGAAATTTTCAATTGCATGGTATTGCACAATAGCAAGAAAACTTCAATTGCACAGTATTTCGCAATAGCAAGAAATCTTCAATTGCACAGTATTGCGCAATAGCAAGAAATATCCAATAGCACAATATTGCACAATAGCAAGAAATTGTCAATTGTACAGTATTGCGCAATTGCAAGAAATATTTAATTGCACAGTATTGTGCAAATGAAGATACTTCGTATAAATTGCTTATTTCTTGACCAATTTCAATGGGGTTTTATTCTTGAATTCTTGGGGTTCTTTAATATACTGAATCTAACCGTGTATTTAGTTTTTGGATTTTGGGCCCCGTTTTTAAATTGGTCCACATTGAGGTCCAAAGGGTCCAAAATTAAACTTTGTTTGATTTCATCAAAAATTGAATTATTGGGGTTCTTTGATATGCTGAATCTAACCATGTATTTAGATTCTTAATTTTTGGTTCCGTTTTCAAATTGGTCTACATTAAGGTCCAAAGGATCCAAAATTAAACTTATTTTGATTTTAACAAAAATTGAATTCTTAGGGTTCTTTGATATGCTGAATCTAAACATGTATTTAAATTTTTGATTATGGGCCCAGTTTTCAAGTTGGTCCAAATCGGGGTCCAAAATTAAACTTTGTTTGATTTCAACAAAAATTGAATATATGGTGTTCTTTGATATGCTGAATCTAACCATGTATTTAGATTTTTGATTTTTGGGCCCCGTTATCAACTTTGTCCACATTGAGGTAGAAAGGGTCCAAAATTAAACTTTGTTTGATTTCATCAAAAATTGAATTATTGGGGTTCTTTGATATTCCATATCTAACCGTGTATTTAGATTTTTAATTTTGGGTCCCGTTTTATAAATTGGTCTACATTAAGGTCCAAAGGGTCCAAAATTAAACTTAGTTTGATTTTAACAAAATTGAATTCTTGGGGTTCTTTGATATGCTGAATCTAAACATGTGTTTAGATTTTTGGTTATGGGCCCAGTTTTCAAGTATGTCCAAGTTGGGGTCCAAAATTAAACTTTGTGTGATTTCAACAAAAATTGAATATATGGGGTTCTTTGATATGCTGAATCTAACCATGTATTTTGATTTGGACATTGGACCATAATAGGTAAATTAAAAAAAATCAAATTCTTAGACCACATTCTTTCTGTGTCAGAAACCTATGCTGTGTCAAATATTTAATCACAATCCAAATTCAGAGCTGTATCAAGCTTGAATGTTGTGTCCATACTTGCCCCAACTGTTCAGGGTTCGACCTCTGCGGTCGTATCAAGCTGCGCCCAGCGAAGCATTTTATTAATTGTTTTATTGATCATGGAAAAAATATGTCAAGCTGAGAAGTAAAGTGATAATTTATTCCAATTCATGTCGAAGTAAAAGAAGGTATTATACATTTTTAGCTCACCAAGGCCCAAAGGGCCCCATGTGAGCTTATGCCATCACTTGGCGTCCGTCGTCTGTAGTCGTCGTCTGTCGTCGTAAACTATTTAAAAAATCTTCTCCTCTGAAACTACAGGGCCAAATACCTTCAAACTTTAACTAAATGTTCCTTAGGGTATCTAGTTTATAAATTGTATCCGAAGTTTTGATCCATCGACAAACATGGCCGCCATCGCTAAAAATAGAACATAGGGGTCAAATGCAGCTTTTGGCTTATATCTCAAAAACTAAAGCTTTTAGAGCAAATCTGACATGGGGTAAAATTGTTCAATTGGTCAAGATCTATCAGCTCTGAAATTTTCAGACGAATCGAACAACCTATTGTTGGGTTGCTGCCACCGCATTGGTAGTTTTAACAAAATTTTGCAGTTTTTTGTTATTATTTTGAATATTATTATAGATAAATATAAACTGTAAGCAACAATAATGTTCAGCAAAGTAAGATCTACAAAAAAGTTAATATGACCATAATTGTCAATTGACCCCTTAAGGAGTTATTGCCCTTTAAAGACAATTTTACACAATTTGTTCATCAAGTTTGCTAACATTTAAAAATCTTCTCCTCTGAAATACAGGTGAGCGATTCAGGCTCTTGAGAGTCTCTTGTTACGGCATACTTATAGAAACAAACAGCGACTTACTTATATACGTGTATGCAAAAGCATTTTGGTCTAGCAAAGCTCATTTCCAGTTGAGAAGCTCTTGAAATTTAGCTTTTTGCATGCAAATTAAGGCTTAATAATATATATAGAAATAATAAATTGATTGATCGATTCTTAACATGCAGTGGCAAATATTACAAGCATATCCAAAACAATAACTTTGTGACATGAATATACCCTGCCTCGTTCCCTGGAAACTTGTTTGCTTTAGTCTTTTTTATATATCTCCAGAAAACCTAAATATTTGGGTGTACCGGTACCCATGCTTCATTTTTCACAAATGATGCTTGACTGTTTACTTTCAATATAACTGAAATGGATTTTTCTAAGCAACTTAAAACATTCTGACTCCATTTATGATGATGTTTTTAAAACAGACATCTGTGTTTTAAGAGAACATCAGATCAGCCTAGTTTGTTTAAGTGCATCTTGTTAACATGCCTGTATTTTGAAAGTAGAGATCTGATCAGTGTGTTTCCCATAGTGCATCTTGTGTTAAATGTTTGTTTTGATTGCATGGTATGTTTTCGTGTACATTGTTGACTAACCCCCTTTTTGATCAGTCAATCCTGACAATTTGTCATGTGATTTTTTTAGCTGTTGATTGTCTATATGTTGGCAAGTATGCATACACCCAGAGTGACACATACCACTGTCATATGTGGTTGGAGGAATCCCTAGATAAAGATTTGAAGGAAATCAATAAAACAGCTGATCGAGCGGAAATTCTGGATTACCTATCCTATGTTACAATGCTGGTAAGGGTAGCTTTGGTTTGAAGGCTCAGATCTGTAGAAAGATCGTATGTTACAATGCTAGCTAGCGCTGGTAAGGGTAGCTTTTGTTTGAAGGCTTAGATCTGTAGAAAGATCGTATGTCACAATGCTGGTTAGGGTAGCTTTGGTTTGAAGGCTTAGATCTGTAGAAAAATTGTATGTTACAATGCTGGTTAGGGGAACTATTATCTGATGACTTCTGGGTAGCTATAGTCTGATGACTGCTGGTTAGGGTAGCTATTATCTGATGGCTGCTGGGTATGGTAGCTATGGTCTGATGACTGCTGGTCAGGGTAGCTATGGTCTGATGACTGCTGGTCAGGGTAGCTATGGTCTGGTGACTGCTGGTTAGGGTAGCAATGGTCTGATGGTTGCTGGTTAGGGTAGCAATGGTCTGATGACTGCTGGTTAGGGTAGCTATGGTCTGATGACTGCTGGTTAGGGTAGCAATGGTCTGATGACTGCTGGTTAGGGTAGCAATGGTCTGATGACTGCTGGTTAGGGTAGCAATGGTCTGATGACTGCTGGTTAGGGTAGCAATGGTCTGATGACTGCTGGTTAGGGTAGCTATGGTCTGATGACTGCTGGTTAGGGTAGCTTTGGTCTGATGGCTTAGATCTAGATTTGTATGCAAATTGCTAGTTTAAAATGTTGAAAGATGATATTGTGATATGTTGAAAGAACTTCCTGGTGACATTTCATTTACATATTGTTAACATTCACACCGGTACATCTTGTTAAATGTAACTTCTTTTATTAACAGATTGAAATTTTTTGTTTCTAACAAGAAACAAAGGTTGAGGTTGCACACTGTACAACTGGTGGCCTTTTTCATAATAGTATTCCTATTGCTTAGCTTTGTTTGTTGACTGAAATACATTTGAAACAGAAGACAAGTTTCAAACTTTTTGTAAAAATAACTGTTATTTGTGATAAACTTTGTGGATGACAAGTAGTAAAAGTTGAGGGTATCCACCAGTCATTACATTATTTTGTGCAATACAAATGTATGGTATATGCATTTGAGAAAATTTACCATGTACATAAGAAAGAAAAAACATGGCCATAATATTTTGAAATTTTACATCTAGGTTAATTTTCCAATACATTTTTAACTTGCATTCAGGTAATGTTTGATTGATTGATGCTTGCTAAACGTCCATTGGTTCAAGTTATTAGGTTAAATGGATGCATTGATTGATGTCAGTTCTGAAGATCAACATTTCACCCCTTTTAGGATTGCAATTAGATTTTTACTCTGATTATTTAAAAAGACAAATTTGAGAAGGAGAGACAAGACAAATTTAATTTTTAGTAATGATAGATTTCCTATGTTTGAAACCTTCTGTTAATTTATCTTAATCAAACAAAAGATCATTTCAGCTAAACTTTGTGAAATATTGTGTAAACTAGACTCCATCATGTGTTTATTTTTCTTTTCAGCAAGGAAATGTAAGACATGCCTTAGATTTGACAAATGAATTGTTAACATTAGGTAAGTTTTTTGTTTTCTAAACTAATTTGAATACACAATGTGACATGTACACACAAATACCAACATAACACACAACATGCCACACACTTACTGTGAAAATATGTTATTTGTCGGGTACTAAATCATGGATTTCATGGTTGATCGAAACCACATATTTTAACTTTAAGAAATGCATATTTTGTTTATTTCTCATGTACAAAATCTGAAACAACAAATTCTAAAAACCATGAACATGATGAACAAATGATTTTTTACCACATTATCAAAAATCCATTAACCAATTATTTTTTTCCGCAAAATCTTTAAAAATTGTAGTCCACAAATAACTTCAAAATATTTTTTTTCATTTTTGTCCAGATTAATATATGATTAAAGCAGAACAAAAAGATTAGTTTTTTTATGCCCCCGCCGTAGCGGAGGGGGCATTAAGTTTTACCATTGTCCGTCTTTACACAATACTTATTACGACAAAACTCAGATCAAGTACAAATTTGGGTAGCGTCACTTTTATTGTTCTCGAGTTATGTCCCTTTATAATGTTGTATGCAAGCGGGGGCATCATCTGTGTCCATGGGGACACATTCTCCATTTATTTGTTTATACATGTATCTTATTATAGAATTTTTTCCTATAATGAATTTAGTGTTAATGTCAGATCTCATGTACAAAAATGTACATGTAGTCTCTGTTAGATTTAGCTATTTGTAATTTAGAGCTTGGTATATGGGGTAGACACTTTTTAATGGTTGAAGACCAATGTTGACCTCTAGATGGTACTGTAAATTCAGAAATTATTGTGAGGTTTATATTATTGCGAATAATGCAACTGGGGGAGTATGGCTATAACAAGAACTCACATTTTGATATCTGATACATATATCTGTATTCAGATTTTCCTGATTTCACAAAAATAAATCTTGCTTTTTTGTCCTTACATGTAATAATTTTTGAATTTATAGTAATTATTGTTTTGTGGAGTTGCTGTTTTATCAATCTGATTGAAATTCAGAACTTTTGCCCAGGCTACACTTATAAGTACCTGGCAATGCTTCATTCTACTTTATGTTTTAAAGACTTTCGGGATCCTCTGGTTTTGTTGCAATGATACACACCTTCAAAATTTTGAAGGCAGAAATTACATTGGCTGATGTTATGATTACCAGAACAGAAAGTAGAACTGAGTGTTGCCAGATTATTGTAAGGGAGCTACCATTTGATTTTATGGGGGGGGCTAGGATGAAATTTGAAAAAAAAGGCAGGACAGGAGTTTTGAGTAAAAAAAAAGGCAGATGAGCAACTTGGGGGAAAAAAAGGCAGGATGAGCAACTTGGGGGAAAAAAAGGCAGGATGACAATTTATGTAAAAAAAAGTCAGGATAAACTAATAAAAAAAAGGCAAGACCGAATAGAGTGAAAAATAAAAAGGCAGGACAGAGATTACAACTAAAAAAAAATGCAGGACAACATTTTTCATCCTAGCCCCCCCACCTTCCATAAAAATCAAATGGTAGCTCCCTAAGCAAAGTGTTGACACATGAACTGCATTTTAATCAGATTGCTGTTTTATTTACTTCTCATGTTGCTGAATTGAAATACAACAAAATTCTTTCAATAATAGGCTTTAATATGTTTGATTCATATCATTTCCATCATTAGAAAAATTTCAATATTCGCTGATTTCTAACGTGTTATAAATGGCAGGTTGGATAGCTGCATCTTTGAACTGACAAAATCCTTGTGTCTGTTTGACATTTTCCAAACACCCGTCTTTATCCTTATGTACGTAATCCAACCCTGCCTAAAGAAATATATTGATTTTATCTTTATACACATTTATCATAGCTGTCATAAGGAAATTATCCCTTTTAAAATATTCATCCCTTTGCTCATCATACTAATGCAGATTTTTTGCCCAACAAACACACAAATGACATCAAATGATGTCACCTAAAACCAAACACACTGCTTGGAATCAAGCGTATTGTACAAACTATAACCAAAAGGTATCTTAAGCTAAAGTGTATTTTAAAATTTTACTATTCTTCTTGTGTTTCAGTCCCAGGTCATGACAGAGCTTTAAATAATAAAGAATATTATTTGAAAATGATAAGTGAGAAGGAAGAAAAGATGGGAGAAACTGCAAAAATGGGAGAAGCTGCCACAGTAGGAGAACAAGCAGATGAGCCCTTGAAAAATGAAAAAGGGAGGGATGAATATAAATCAACAGATGAATTCATCATGTATGAAAGGTTATGTAGAGGAGAACATACACATGTAAGTTGATGTAGAATCATGCATTTTTATGTGTATATATAATAACACCATGCCTTTGAAGGTAGGGGCACTATTTTTTCACGTCTGTCTGTCCGTCTGTCCCTCTTTAGGCTAATGTTTTGGTTTATGGTAGTTTACCATGAAGTTATGTTCACATCAACTTCATACTTAGACTAAGTATGCATGTTCATAATAATGGGAACTATAAAAATATATGCCAAGTTAGGGTTTGACCCAGATTTCATGGTTTACTCAACATGGAATTGTGATAGTGCAAGCAGGGCATGGTGTCCTTATTTTATGTTTACTGGCATATTTGTTAGTAGACTCTTGCAATGAAATAAAAGGGTCAAAACATGGATTGTTGCTTACATCTAGGTCATAAGGTATCCCAAGCAATTTATAAACAAGAGTATGTGGCCATAGGAGACCATGCCCAGCTCACACTTTTTCTGTGTTCAGAGAACTGCAAAATTTGGGTCTTAACCCTAATTTTGCATATATATTAAACAGTTCATAATGAAAGTGTGTACTAAGTTTTAAGGGGAAGTGACTACAAACTACCTTAACCAAAACTGTAACCTACAGTACCTTAAATCGAAAACTTGAAAATACAAATACCTTAAGGATGTACTTGGGTGAGGTTTAGGAATGTGTGTCATATGTTCGGACTCCTTGGTTTTTTTCCTACGATATAGGGTAAAATATTTTGCCCCATAACACCCATGTTTCTTTTCATATAAGACTCATGAAAGGTCATTTACCAAAATTTAAGCAAATTCTTGATTTCTTTTCTTTCGATTTGAGACCCAATTAATACCAATACAAATATTAGGTAAAAGTCCGAGTCAGCCTTTTCCTGCCATTTTTTAACACTCAAATATCTCAAAAAGGAGCTCCATAACCTATCAATATTTTTAGCTTATTTTGTTCCTTAACTAATGCTCTCCTGACTTATAATATCAATTTTAAATTCTAGATTTTTTAATTTCACCTAAGTACATCCATAATGAAAACTTTTACCTTATGCCAGATGGATAGACTTACAAATGGACAGATGCACAGAGTCAGAAAATTTTGACCACTACTTGTGTAGATGGGGCATAAAAAAAATTACATATTTAGTTTTAATTTATACATTCTTTGAAAAAATTGCCAGCCATACTTATATAAATATGACGCCTTTAGTTTGTAACTGATAACTGCCATAAACTGATATATCAAGATCACCTTGTTCATTTTGTTTTATTCATATTTATGCAAAAGGCTAAGTATTCTGTACATGGTATGAACAACTACCTAAAACTTCCAACCATCAAGACCCGGTAAACAACAGTAGCTTTTTATTATAGTACACAAAAACACAAAAGAATTTTCTGACACTTAACAGAGAGTGAAAATATGAAAAAAAAAGAAGATAACATACTTCAGAAATTTTTCAAAATTGAAATAAGTAAGAATTCAGCTATATCTGTGGTCATTTTTATGCCCCGGCCTCTGTAAATGATTCTTCCGTCCGTACGTCCCGAAATTGGTTTCCATTCTCTAACTTTAGTTTCCCTTGACCAAATGTTATGAAACTTATACATGAAGCTTATTACCACAAAACACAGGTCAAGTGCGAATTAGGGTGGCGTCACTTGTACAGTTCTCTAGTTATGTCCCTTTATAATGTTTTTTGCAAGCGTGGCGTCATCTGTGTCCCATAGACACGTTCTCCATTTATTTTTTTTAAATTTTGTTTTATACTTATTTGATCAGAACAATAGACTATACCTCATAATTTTATTTGTTTCTTGCAGTTTTGATCAGTTATTTTAGACAAAGAAAACAGATTTAAATCTAGAAACAATGCCATGATTAAAGATAAAAAGATGGTATGATTGCCAATGAGAAAAACTCTCCATCAGAGACCTCATGACTTAAAAGTCAGCCGCTATAGGTAACCGTACGTTCTTCAACAATAAACAAAACCCATACAGCATAGCAAGCTATAAAAGGCCATGAAATGACAAATGTTCCCTATGAAAGATATAAAGATCTTTGATTAGATAAGTATATAATCATAATCATGTTTATGTTACAGGATTACAAAGACAAACACAAGTTAGTATGTCGATACAAAACAAACAACGATCCATTGTTGTTGATAAATCCAGCCAAAGAAGAGGAAATTTATCTTGATCCTTATGTTGTAGCTTATCATAATATTATATCTGATTATGAGCTTGCTGTTATCAAAAGTATTGCCACTCCAAAGGTAAGGACTATTCCATTGTACTTGGGAAGCCTGAGAGGAATCCTTATATCCCTTACAAAGGTAAGGACTATTCCATTGTACTTGGGAAGCCTAAGAGGAATCCTTATATCCCTTACAAAGGTAAGGACTATTCCATTGTACTTGGAAAGCCACAAAGGAATCCTATCCCTTCTAAAGGTAAGGGCTGTTCCATTATTATTTGGGAAACCACAGGGGAATCATTAAATCAACTCCAAAGGTATGGACTATTCCATTATGACACGCAGTGTTCTCCCCAGGATTTTTGGATAGCACCAGGGTAACGCGTGTGGACAGCTTGATGAAATATTTCAGACAATCAGTTGTGTGGCATCGCGTCGCGTAGCTTAGCTCTATTTCTAGTTACTGTAGTTTTTATGTCTCTTGTTTTTTTTAATACTGTGGTACTGTGTTATGTAGGCATTGAGTCAGAAAATTATTGGTAAAAAAGAAGTAAATCAAAAAACAGTTTGTATACTTTTAATATTTTTTTTAAATAAATAAATTATGATTCATAATGAAATATTGATCTGAATTTAAAGTAATTAAATCTTTTATAAAATCCAAAATCAATAAAAAATAAAATATCATTCAAAAGAGAACAAAAATGTTCAATTTAAAAAACTTTCTAGTTTCTAGAAAGAAAGTTGTATGTGAAAGTATTCCTGTCATAATTAGAAGATATAGAATTAACAAGAACAATTGCAAATATTGTTTTATTATTTGAACCAGTTTCTATCTTAGATTTTAATATAAATAAGAAATTTTTCATAAATTTTAGAACATTTTGCCATAGATTTCATGTAAATATTAACCTTTCTTGTCTTTGGTGATATTCAAACATAGATACAGACTTAATACTGCACTAAAATCTAAATCTTTATTTGTCATGATCCATTTAAAAAGAATTCCTAAATCAATAAATTTATCTTTGGTCTATAGATCTAAAGGCAACCATATTCCATGTCAACAACTAAGTCTCCCTATTTTCCTGCCTAAATGACAGGAAGTAGATATAAATAGATTTAACATGTGCTTATGGATAAAATTTGCAAGATTACTTCTGTTATTCATTAATTATGGATATAGATATCCAGTTTGAAGGTACAGTCATGCATTTTATTTATAAAGTAGAATAGATTGCAATTAATTGTAAATAAACTTGAATATTCTGCGTGAAATAACTAGGTCATGTGATATGTACAGACAGATACTACAGTTTGAAACCCGCCTATCATGTAATAACTATGTCATAATTAAAGATAATATTGGCCATGGTTTGATCAGAGACATATAATACTATAATATAAGAATTGAGAAATGTATAATTGTCAATTATACGTAATGAACCACCTTTATGATGTACAAAAAAATGTACCTTATCGGGTCAAGACACTGTTTGTGTACAAAGTATTTGCCGTCTTGTCACAGGTCAGTGCTTGGGTGATGAGTGAAGCCATAAAATAGTTATAAACTCTTAATTAAAACACAAAAGAATCATGTTACAAGTATTAAATACATCGATTAAATCCAATCAACAAGGTTAACCTCATAAGGTAAATCGATCAAGTGGTGTAAACAATCTCTGTTGATCTGGTTTGAACTGGTCAAATTTCACCTGGATTTTTATACCGCACGGAAAAGATTTAACAAGTCGTTTAAAACTTTACCGATTTACGATTTTTTAACTGAAAATTTTAGCACCACGGAGAAAATTATACATCGGGGTAAGAACGATACCACCACAGTAAAAAATTATACATCGCGGGCCCGCGGTCCTTTAAGGGCCTGGGGAGAACACTGACACGTGTGTATGATTTGGGAGGGAATCCACAGGGATTGTCTCAATTGATTACATCTCCTTTTGTCCATTGTTAATAGCTAAAATGAAGTTTTGATTATAAATCAAATGTTTTATGTAACATTTGAAATACATTATATTTTAAAAGCAAAAAAAAAGCCATACTCTGAACAAATATGTTGAAGACTTTGAATAAAGTACATTGTACAATGTTACCGAACATGATTATGGTTGGCTTGATGAGATTGTTTCTGGAATGCAAAAATGTAATCAATCAAGGCCTCCTTTCATGTACATAATTTCAGAGTATTTAAGTAATTAATGTTATATTAAATCTACTTGAATAATACCTATATGGATATATTATAAAGGTCAACCATGAAATATAAATATGTGTTTTTAAGTAAGTATTTTTTTATTGACTGTTATGACAACAAAGACCTAAAAATTACTTAATATCTGAAAAATGCTGCCTCATACAGTTATTAGATTAATTTGAGTCTGAATAATGTAAAGTTAATGAGTGTAACTAAATATTTTAACAGTATTTAATTTAATTGCCAAAAAAATGAATTAAGATGTAAAATATTGTAAGCATTGAAGGATACATAATAGATTTTTAATATTTTTATTGCAGCTAGGAAGAGCAACCGTGCATAATGCTAAAACAGGAAAATTAGAATTTGCTCATTACAGAGTTAGCAAAAGGTAAGATTTAGTTGTTAATTATAGATAGAGAAAAAGGTAATAATACTAATCAATTGCGGACTAAGCAAACATAATAATTAGTAAGGACTGAGAGAGGAAGCATGATTTAAATTTATTAATGAATTACAGATTCAGTAAAAAAGAGGCGAAAGATACCAAAGGGACATTCAAACTCATAAGTTGAAAATAAACTGACAACGCCATGACAAAAAAAGAAAAAGACCAAAAGACAAACAACAGTACACAAAACACAACATAGAAATCTAAAGACTGAGCAACACAAACCCCACCAAAAACAGGGGGTGATCTCAGGTGCTCCAGAAGGGTAAACAGATCCTGCTCCATGTGTGGCATCTGTAAATGGTAAAATTAGAAGGGAATTATGCAGTTAATAAAAGAGAAAATTAGTTGTAATTTACAAATAAGCAAAAGGTCATATTAGTAGTGTCAGAATTGCAGAGTAAGCAAAAGGTCAAACTATGTTTATGGGTCTGTTATTTGCAGCAACTGACTTATATACATAATATAAAGGTTGCTTTATACCTTGGGTACAACCAAACTAATGTCAATAGTGGTCGATTGACAGTATTAGTACTGTGTCTCACGATTACTGAAAAGCCATTTTCATAAATATTTACATACTTAAAAGAAACAGAAGTAGAACTGTCTTCAAAAGATTTATTATTGAATTCAAGTTCTAAGCCATTAAATTTTCTTGTTCAAAAGAAACGAATGACATCAGCACAAATGTAGTAGATTACATCCCCACATAAGTGGAAGGTGTTGATGAAAAAAAATTTGCTTGTTTGAGTTGCAGATACATATAGATTTTACCACTACTCCAAGTGTGATACTATATTTATCTACTTGAGACAGTTAAATTTTTAAATTTAAAACTTGAGGCTCGCTGAGATTTGGTGGTAGAATCTGTTTCTCTAATGATTTTTAGACGATATACAGACAATCTTAATTCTTCTTTTCGAATGATCTGCAAAAGATATGCTCTTTATATGTGATGTCATCAAGCATGGTTGCCTTTTTTCATGACGTCACAATAAGAAATTAAGAGGAAAGCAAGAAAATTTGATGTCATAATAGAATTTTGACCACTAAAGAATTGAGATCAAACAAATCACACGTTGATTAAATAGAAATAATCAACCGGTCAGGAAAAGGATCAATCAGGTAATAATTAAAAAAAGTTTCTTAACTTGAATGCAGCTACATATTAAATATGTTCTCATTATTAAATTATTATTTGATTTTTACAGTGCTTGGTTAAGACCTGATGATGATATTGTTATAGAGAGAGTGAATAAGAGAATATCTGCTGTCACTAAATTAGAAATGGATACAGCTGAAGACTTACAGGTAAATTAGGTCACTGTGACTTATAATACAAAAAGCTAACAGTGATATGAATACAACAAAAATTGATATGAAATTTCTCCAATGTTACTTTATTGTATTATCTACAAATATGGTTATATTACTGATTCATTTTTATTCGGTGGATACCAATTTTCGTGGATTCCATGGATAAAAATAAAATCGTGAATTTAAATGATGAACGAAGTACAAATTTTCTTTAGGTTTTTGTGTAGACTTTTAAAAAAACCATGAAATCAAATATTCCACGAAAATACAAGTTTTCCACAGTATTCATTTTCTTTCTTAATACAGGTAATCTACATTTTCACAATTTCTCTTTAATACCTTCTGATATTCCCAAAGAAAGTTATATAAATCGACCAAAATTGCAGAGAATATTCAATAGAAAATGAGGACCTGCACATACTGTTAAAGTACTGCCATACGAAAGTTGGAAGAATATATAGTACATTTGAAAAAAATTACATATAAAATAGAATACCTTTTAAAACTAAACCACCAAAAGTAAACATACCAAGATGGCCTCTTTGCTTTTATGTTTGTGCAGGGTTAAGCCCTTAGTCTATTTTCTTCTTCGCCACGTCTTGGGCCAAAATAATTTTTTTTTTGCCACTCTCAATTTTTTTTCGCCAACTAACCTTAACATATTTTTCGTTTAAAATTTTCCTTCTTGCTAACAAAAAACATTTAGTTTGTAGCATTGATGTCTTATCTGTTATAATTCTACACATCTATTTTTATGCCCCTGCCGTAGCGGAGGGGGCATTAAGTTTTACCCTTGTCCGTCTGTACGCATCTACTTTTTAATCTACATTGTAATAGATAAACACTTATCGATAACAAACTTTTACTTTTTTGAAGATAATGTAAAAAGAATCCTGAAAAAATAAACATAATGGATTTAGTCGAACCGTTATATTTCTATCTACAAAGCTTCCAGCAATAATGAATTTTAATAGCCACAATTTTATTTTTCGCAAAATGCGTCAGCCAGTTAATTCCCCGTGTTTCTGTCTTCCTCTGAAGTCTGTAATTAATTGTCCTCTCTCAAAATACTTGGCCAATTTTTAAAAAACTCTGCAATTTATTTATTTTAGGTCTTAAAGCGACTAAATATTTGTGAAAAAAAAATCTTCTGTAAGCTGTTGGCAATTAAACCATTTCTTAACAATATTTATATTTATAACAAACTTGTAAAATTTGATTCCTAACTTAAAAGTGCAAGCTTAAAGAAGCTGGATATGTTTACAGGTCTTGTTAGAACACAATATTGTGATAAACAGATGAAACATACACTAAAATTTCAATTACTTTATATTTACTTTTCTTACTTTGCAGATAGCTAATTATGGTATAGGTGGACATTATGAACCACATTTTGATTTTGCACGGGTAGGTATAATTTATCAGATAGGAAACGTTTTACCAGGAATAGCAAAATATCAAATTTAACAGAAAATTAAACAAATTATTATCTTTATTTTTAATATACTTTTTGTACAGTTTTAAAACAAAGAGCTCTGAAAACGGAAATTACTATGAGATACTTTTAAGAAGTAAATATCTGCTTTATGTTAAACCACCCCCTAATTCATGATTAGTGAATGGCATTTATAAAAACAGCACTTAGAAAATACAACTTTTTATGTACGTCTGTTTATGGTACAACGTTGTCCGTCTGTCCAACCCTCCGTCATCAATAATTCGGACAATAACTCAAAAATGCTTTTACCAATTTCATGAAACTTAGGTGAATTGTTTATGTCTATTGACCTAAGCTCCTTTTGATTTTTTATATAAATTTTATAGATAATAGTTTTCTGAGTTATGGGATTTTTTTTCTAGTTGATTGTATAAATTCATTTAAAGCAAAAAGATGAGCTAAAAGGGTGACATGCGTATCATGTGCTCATGGCGCAGCTCTTTATTTTAAAATATAAAACTTTTGTATTTGTATTCCTATTGAATTCTTATAAGCTACATATAATATATATTACAACATTAAAAATGCAATAAAAGGTAGAGCATAAACAAAGCAGCTACTATTCCCACTGAAACTTTTTGAATTTATTTGTTCATCTGCTATAGCTAAAAACTATTTACAATTTCTAATTTTTAATTTTCTAACAACATTTTGTTGTGATGAGATGGAAAACAACATATAACCAACCAATCAGTAGATATAAGAAGATGTGGTATGAGTGCCAATGAGACAACTCTCTATCCAAGTCACAATTTATAAAAGTAAACAATTGTAGGTCAAAGTATGGTCTTCAACACGGAGCCTTGGCTCACACCGAACAGCAAGCTATAAAGGGCCCCAAAAATGACTAGTGTAAAACCATTCAAACGGGAAAACCAACGGTCTAATCTATATAAAAAACGAGAAACAAGAAACACTTATGAACCACATCAACAAACGACAACTACTGAACATCAGATTCCTAAATTAGGACAGGTGCAAACAATTACAGCGGGTTTAAACGTTTTTATGGAACCAAACCTTCACTCTGTCAAGGCGAGACATAGGTATGCTGTTTCCGGCGTCAGCGACGGCGATGGCGTCAACAATGTATTAGTTTGTGATTAGGTCTAGTTCATGGTGAACCACTAGTGGTAGGTCAATGATATTTGGTATGCAGTTGTATTAGCATTGGCACATCTCATTACCTTGTAGATTATTTGGCCCCGCCCCCTCAGTCAAGGTCTATTGACTTTGAAACTTTTCATAGTTTACATGTATTAGTTTGTGATTAGGTCAATTTATGGGGAACCACTAGTAGTAGTAGGTTAATGATATTTGGTATGCAGTTGTATAAGCATTGGCACATCTCATTTCCATGGAGATTATTTGGCCCCGCCCCCTCAGTCAAGGTCTATTGACTTTGAAACTTTTCATAGTTTACATGTATTAGTTTGTGATTAGGTCAATTTATGGGGAACCACTAGTGGTAGGTCAATAATATTTGGTATGCAGTTGTATAAGCATTGGCATATCTCATTTCCATGGAGATTATTTGGCTCCGCCCCCTTAGTCATGGTCTATAGACTTTGAACATTTTGCTAAGTTAACATGTATTAGTTTGTGATTAGGTCAGTTCAAGGGGAACCATTAGTGGTAGGCCAATGTTAATTGGTGTTCAGTTGTATAAGCATTAGCACATCTCATTTCCACGGAGAATATTTGGCCCCGCCCCCTGTCATGGTCTATTTACTTTGAAACTTTTGCTTAGTTTACATGTATTAGTTTGTGATTAGATCAGTTTAAGATGAACTTCTTATGTTAAGTCAATGATATTTGGTATGCAAATTTATTGGCATTTGCAAGTATCGTTTCCATGGAGATTTTATAGTCCCACCCCTGATCATGGTTCATTGACTTTTAAACTTTTACATAGTTTACAAGTTAATGTTTGTGTTTAGGTTTGTTTAAAGGGAACGACTTATAATAAGTCAATGGTATTTGGTATGCAGTTGTATTAGCATTGGCACATCTCATTCCATGGAGATTGTTTAGCCCTGTACCTTCAGTCATGGTTCATCGACTTTGAATATTTGTATAGCTTACATGTTAAAGTATTGCTATTTTAATTTCAACATTTGCATTATCAAAATTACAAAAAGGCAAGACATATCTCTGTGATAACAGTTTATTTTGAAACAATAGTGTAACATCACAACATAGAAAGACACACTATAAAATATCAACTGAAATGGCTTATCTCAATCAAAGGACGACTGTATTTTACAAGGTACTTCCTTTACAAAAATAGTTTTATAATAACGATAATAAGTATTGAAACCCTTAAGTAACAGAGAAGCATATTGTCTGCTGTTGCAGAAGGCGAATTCAGTTGTGGGACAACTTAATGGCAACAGGATTGCAACATTCCTAGCTTATGTAAGTTCATATACACACACAACATATGTCTTAATGTTAGTCAAAAGTTTTTGTGCACTATATTGTTTTTGATAGAATGTGTTTTTCAATGTACTTTTTATAGTAGATAGATGTGCTACACTAGAAATTTTCTGTCTTACATAAAAAAAAGAATCAAGAAAAACATGTGAATTTTTAGGAGCTCCATTTTTCATCTTTCTGGGTCACTGACAGCAAATATACATATTATTACCACATAAAATATCAGAAAGAATATGTGTGCCAAAATCTTGATACAGCCGTATGTTTTTAATGTCTGGCTTTGAATATGCATGTTGATAATTGTAGCAAGCTTTTTATAAATGGCCAGTGATTCAATCTTTTATTTATTTCAATGCCAAAGAGATAAAAAAAAAAAAAGGAGCTAAAAAGAATAGCTTTCATGTAGGTACAGGGTAAAATATTTTGCCCATAACACTCATTTTTCTTTTCATATAAGACTTCAATACCTCATAAAAGGTCATTTACCAAAATTTAAGCAGATTCTAGATTTCTTTTCTTTCGATTTGAGATCCAAATAATACCAATGCAAATATAAGGTAAAAGTCCGAGTCAGCCTTTTCACACCATTTTTTAAAAATTAAATATCTCGAAAAGGAGCTCCATAACCTAGCAATATTTTTAGCTTATTTTGTTCCTTAACTACTGCTCTTTTGACTTATAGTATCAATTTAAAATTCTAGATTTTTCAATAAATTTTGCCTAAGTACATTAATAATGAAAAGTGATATTCAAATTAAATTTTTATGGTAAAATCACATGCACCCATTTGATTTGCATTGGTCTTTCCTCTGTTTAATATGCTGTCATGGGTACGGAGTACAGTACATGCATTATTTCCTTGAAATAAATTTACACATCGTATTGAATGTTTGAAAAAGCTTGCTACACAAAATATCACTCAGTTTTATGTATATCTTGAGTTAAAATGATTACATATGCCTGTACTTTATTCAGAAAGAAGAGTCAAATGCTTTCAAAGGTTTGAATACTGGCAATAGGATAGCAACATGGTTATCATATGTGAGTTAAAAAGTACTAGAATTTAATAGGTGTTTTGCATTTCTTTTGTGATGTACAACTTTTGATTTCTGTCCCTTTCCAATATAACATCAATTTTCAGTGGCAGTCCAAATTTCCCTACCTTCTTCACAGTTGACTCAATGTCGTATGGTATTTTAAAGTTCAACCAAGGGTCAATATGCCATATGAAAAATTGGGTCAATTTTTCATATGGTTTTTTTACCCTGGGTTCAATTTTCCATATGGTACTTTGACCCTGGGTTCAATTTTCGATTTGGTATTTTGACCCTTGGTTCATTTTCAGGGGGGGGGGGGGGGGGGGGGGTTTAAAATACCATATGACACTGGTTTACATGATTTGTTTGACCTATCTATTGTATGTATTGCTAATTTGTTCTCCTCCTCAGCATGCATGAAATATTTGCTACTGAATGTTAAGCAACCAACAATCAATCAATCTGTCAATCAAGGCTTCCAAAACGGTCATATATTCCGGACATTTGTATAATGTCCGGTAAAAGTCCGGCTGGGCAAAGCATGAAATGGACATCTACTTTTTAGTTTTCAAGGCTTTCTTAGGGGACGGTCATTTTAACATAATTCGCGATCTTTATGACCCAACCTTTTGCCTTTTACAGCCACACATTTCCGGTCATAAAAGTGACATGATCATTAAGTACTATCAAAACAACCCCTACTTTAATACCTTCTCATTTTAATCAAGGCTAATTAGTTGTCGAACAGCTGAAATTTACCTGTTCAGGTGACAGGTAAACTATTTTGAACCGGACATTGATCGGTCTATTCAAAGTTATTTTCTTACATTTCAGCGGTTTGCATCTAATTAATTTAGTCAAAAAGATTTTAATTATCAGAAATACGTTTACAAATATGATTTGATGAAAAAATTAAAAAGGTGAAAATGAAAAATTGTCATAACCACGTTGTTTGAACCAGAGACATGTTTGAATTAGTACACGTGTGCGCATGTGCCCAGGTGTGAAATTTAATTATGCAGCCTAATTTCTTCAAAAAAATCTTAAATTGTCATTGATGCCTTTATCTCACGTTTATTTCGAATATTTTCTTGAAGAAATAACGTAGAAAGAGCTACTTACACTCGTTCATGCTTTGCAAACGTACACAGAATTTATGTATCCGTCTCTGGTCCATGTTTTACCATTGTCAAGATAACATCCGGTTTAAAAACGAAAGTAAAGTTTTTGACAACGTTATTTTGCCAAAATAAGTCTAAGGCAGATATAAGTACGCTGATCTTGCACACTTCGAATGATGCACTGCCAATTAAACAGTTTACGTCAGAACTTCGAATTTGAATCAAAGGAAGTTTAATATCGTTTTTTTTAATGTCATTCATTGGGATGTCCAACTCGGCAACTGATTACCATAATTGCCTTTTGTTTATTTAGTCTTAAGGGATTAAAATCGGGATAATATATAAAATGTCCGTCTGGCTAAAAATAATTTTGGAAGCCCTGCTGTCAATACATCTTTTGAAAACCTGTTCACATTGAAGGCACTTTATTTTAGAAACCAAGCCACTACTTTTCTGAGTATTATCATTCTTATCTAATTTCTGAAATATGAAAGATACCAAATTTGAGAAATCATTTTGAAATATGTTCCTGAATGTCATATCTTGGTTTTTTACACGACCGCAAAAAAATTTTTGTGGTCGTATATTGGTATGACGTTGGCGTCGTCGTCCGGCGTCGTCCAAAGACACATTGGTTTTCGCACTCTTACTTTAGTTTAAGTGAATGGATCTCTATGAAATTTTAACACAAGGTTCAATACTACAAAAGGAAGGTTGGGATTGATTTTGGGGATTATGGTACCAACAGTAAAGGAATAAGGGGCCCAAAAGGGGCCAAAAATAAGCATTTTTGTAACTTCCAGACATAACTTGTGTGTTAGTGTATGGATCTCTCTGACATTGTACCACAAGGTTCCATATCACAAAAGGAATGCTGGGATTGATTTTGGGGGTAATTGCCTCAAATTTTAGGAATTAGGGGCCAAAAAAGGGGCAAAAAACAAGCATTTTTCTAGTTTCATGACAATTACTTGTGTGTAAGTGTATGGATCTTTCTGAAATTGTACTACAAGGTTCCATATCACAAAGGGAAAGCTGGAATTGATTTTGGGGGTAATTGCCGAAATGTTTAGGAATTGGGGGCCAAAAAGGGGCCAAAAATAAGCATTTTTCTAGTTTCCAGACAATAACTTGTGTGTAAGTGTATGGATCTTTCTGAAATTGTACTACAAGGTTCCATATCACAAAGGGAAAGCTGGGTTTGAGTTTGGGGGTAATTGCCGTAATTACACGTTTAGGAATTTGGGGCCAAAAAGGGGCCAAAAATAAGCATTTTTCTAGTTTCCGGACAATAACTAGTGTTCAAGTGTATGGATCTCTCTGAAATTGTACTACAAGGTACCATACCACAAAGGGAAGGCTGGGATTGAGTTTGGGGGTGATGAATCATAAAGGGGTTCAAAAAATTTGGGGGGGGGGGGGTTCTTTTTTTTCATTTTTTTTTCTTTTAAAATTTTCCATTTTAAGTTGGTTATTTCTGATTTATATTTAAAAGCAAATAATAATGATATGGTAGGAGATACACACCAAACAGGATGTGTAAATTATTATATAATAAGTATTGTGCAATAGCAAGAAATTTTCAATTGCACAGTATTGCACAATAGCAAGAAATCTTCAATTGCACAGTATTGCGCAATAGCAAGAAATCTTCAATTGCACAGTATTGCGCAATAGCAAGAAATATCCAATAGCACAATATTGCGCAATAGCAAGAAATTGTCAATTGTATAGTATTGTGCAATAGCAAGAAATATTTAATTGCACAGTATTGTGCAAAAGAAGATACTTCGTATAAATTGCTTATTTCTTGACCAATTTCAATGGGGTTTTATTCTTGAATTCTTGGGGTTCTTTAATATGCTGAATCTAACCATGTATTTAGTTTTTGGATTTTGGGCCCCGTTTTTAAATCGGTCCACATTGAGGTCCAAAGGGTGCAAAAGTAAACTTAGTTTGATTTTAACAAAAATTGAATTCTTTAGGGTTCTTTGATATGCTGATTCTAAACATGTATTTAGAATTTTGATTATGGGCCCAGTTTTCAAGTTGGTCCAAATCGGGTCCAAAACTAAATTTTGTTTGATTTCAACAAAAATTGAATATATGGGGTTCTTTGATATGCTGAATCTAACCATGTATTTAGATTTTTTATTTTTGGGCCCCGTTATCAACTTTGTCCACATTGAGGTCAAAAGGGTCCAAAATTAAACTTTGTTTGATTTCATTAAAAATTGAATTCTTGGGGTTCTTTGATATGCTGAATCTAACCATGTATTTAGATTTTGGATATTGGACCATAATAGGTGAATGTCCAATTTAAAATTTTTAAGTTCTTAGACCACATTCATTCTGTGTCAGAAACCTATGCTGTGTCACATATTTAATCACAATCCAAATGCAAAGCTGTATCAAGCTTGAATGTTGTGTCCATACTTGCCCCAACTGTTCAGGGTTCAACCTCTGCGGTCGTAGTTTTACTGTTGGTTTGGTAACATTTTTTTTTTATTTTGGGAGATAATGAAGACCTTAAATCTAAGAGAAAAATATCAAAGGTCAGCTATAATCCTTTCCCCCAAAAGGAGAATCATGATTCTAATTTTTAACTTATATTTGAAGTAAATTGTTTCCCTTTAAGCAGAGTTCGCGAAAATGGTCGGTCCTGTTGGTCAAAATGAGGCTCGGACCAGTATTTTGAAGGCTAGTGCCGGTCCTGATGACCAATGTAAAAACGGCCATTGTAGTGCATATTTCGGCACTTTTTTACATCGGTTATTAGATGTACCGCAACTGTTTCCAATAAGTGTTTACATCGGTTATCAGATGTACCGATGCCAATTTCCGGTACTGGTTTACGGATTTATTATAAACAAACCAAAGCGGCGATCTACACGTGACCTACTAAATTTGTTCATAGAGCCATCCCTGGCAAACAATCGGCGATTGAACCCTTCAATGGAGCAAACAAATACTGTTACAGCCGAGAAAGTGATTCAGATGATGAAATGGATAGTGAAGATGACTTTAAATAAGAACAATCAGAAGACCTGAACTGGTCCTTCATTGTAAATTTGCCTGTGGGTGCAAAGAATAAAACTAATATTAATAAAGTTATTTTTCGATAAAATTATGTTATTAATTTTATTTCAGGATAAAATTGACAGATTTTGTAGGACTGGCTAAAATTTTGTAGGACTGACAAATAATCATGCTTTGTCAGTCCCATGACCGTCTGGTCAAAATAAGTTTTCGCGAACTCTGCTTGAAGTACTGGTTCATTGCAATAGAGGAGCTACTATAATTAAATAGAAAATTATTCATTAGCCTTACTTAGGATTCATTATTTTTCCTGGGATACCAATTTTTATACGACCGCAAAAAAAAATTTGTGGTCGTATATTGGTATGACGTCGGCGTCGTCGTCCGAAGACACATTAGTTTTCGCACTCTAACTTTAGTTTAAGTGAATGGATCTCAATGAAATTTTACCATAAGGTTCAATACCACAAAAGGAAGGTGGGGATTGATTTTGGGGGTTATGGTACTAACAGTTAAGGAATTAGGGGCCAAAAATAAGCATTTTTGTAACTTCCAGACATAACTTGTGTGTAAGTGTATGGATCTCTCTGACATTGTACCACAAGGTTCCATATCACAAAGGGAATGCTGGGATTGATTTTGGGGTAATTGCCTCCAAATTTTAGGAATTAGGGGCCAAAAAGGGGCAAAAAACAAGCATTTTTCTAGTTTCATGACAATAACTTGTTTGTAAGTGTATGGATCTTTATGAAATTGTACTACAAGGTTCCATATCACAAAGGGAAAGCTGGAATTGATTTTTGGGGTAATTTCCTCCAAATTTTAGGAATAAGGGGCCAAAAAGGGGCAAAAAACAAGCATTTTTCTAGTTTCATGACAATAACTTGTTTGTAAGTGTATGGATCTTTATGAAATTGTACTACAAGGTTCCATATCACAAAGGGAAGGCTGGGATTGATTTTGGGGGTTTTCCCTCAAAATTTTAGTAATTAGGGGCCATAAAAAGGGCAAAAAAAACATGCATTTTTCTAGTTTCAGGACAATAACTTGTGTGTAAGTGTATGGATCTTTATGAAATTGTACTGCAAGGTTCCATATCACAAAGGGAAAGCTGGAATTGAGTTTGGGGGTAATTGCCCTAAACGTTTAGGAATTTGGGGCCAAAAAGGGGCCAAAAAACAAGCATTTTTCTAGTTTCCAGACAATAACTTGTGTTCAAGTGTATGAATCTCTCTGAAATTGTACTGCAAGGTACCATACCACAAAGGGAAAGCTGGGATTGAGTTTGGGGGTGATGAATCATAAGGGGGTTCAAAAAATGGGGGGGGATTTTTTTTTTCCTTTTTTTTCTTTAACATTTTCCATTTTAAATTGGTTATTTCTGATTTATATATAAAAGCAAATAATAATGATATGGTTTGAATAGGCATACATGTGAACCTCCCGATGGGAGTACAATAATCCTGTTTTCAGGGGTCTCCTCCCGACCTCCCGTTGAAGAGGAAAAAATCCCGTGTATGAAATTTTTCATGAATGAAAAATTTCTGCCCAACATATCATCTCAGGCATCTGGTGTAACTGACATTACTTGAAGTTATATTTTACCTGTAAATCAATTAACATGCATAATTATATGGCTTCACTTGTCAGCTTGGGTGTCAAACATACTGGTAATCAACGATTTTTACCTCAGGCTAACTGCCGTTGTGTAACAAAAACTGTGTATTTATTGGGTTACTTCCCTTGATTTATCCTGTTTTAAGTTACTTTCCTTTTAATAATGAAAATTTTTAAAAGAATATAAATAAAATATAAATTGAACAAATAATCATAAAAGGATGGTTATTAAATGATTTTAAATGTCTTAGGACAAATAAAAAAATAATAATTTGAAAATTATTTGAGGATTCTATACTTCCTTTCAAGGCTTTAATTGAAATTTATATAATAACTATGACCCTAATTTTACAGATAGAATGATTTTCTGAGTTTGCAAATAAAAACTATTTGCAAGAGAAAAAAAATAAAAATAAAAACTATTTGCAGATAGCTAAACAAATGTTCTGGTTGCAATGATTGTTTTACAGAATATGAAGTAAAAAATTTAAAGAACATACTGGAAAAAAACAATGTTAGATTGAACATGTAGAATATAAAGATGGAGAAATTTTATAAGTACAAGGGTACTATAAACATAATAAATTGGATGGAAAGTTGAAGAAAACACACTTTAAAAGACCATTTTTACAGCACACGGTTACATTTACAACAAAATTAATGTCGATTAAAAACCTCCTGATCTGAGTCCTAATCTCCTGACCAAAATTTCCCAATCTCCTGATCTGAGTTTCACAGTCCATCACATGTATGAATAGGTAAATTGAAAATTTTTAAGTTCTTAGACCACTTTCATTCTGTGTCAGAAACCTATGCTGTGTCAAATATTTAATTACAATCCAAATTCAGTGCTGTATCAAGCTTGAATGTTGTGTCCATACTTGCCCCAATTGTTCAGGGTTTGACCTCTGCGGTCATATCAAGCTGCGCCCCAGCGGAGCATTTTATTGTGAATTGTGTTTGTACAGGAAAACCACGAATTAAAATGTTCAATGATTTGCAAATTTTCTATGGGCTTGTCTGCAGACTTTGACAAAACCACGAAATCAAATATTCATGAAAAAAAAAACTTCAACTTTTATTCAGGCTAGGAAAAATAGCACTCACGAAAATAAATGAATCCACATGTACAGTATATCAAAACATTAACAGCTTTAGAGTTTAGACTAATCACATCTATTTTTGAGGCAAAATATCATGAGTAATTCAAAAAAGACAAAGAAGAAAATCTTCAGTACTTATAAAGTACCAATCCTGACTCTTTATTGTTGGGAAAAGTGAGGATTGCCTATCATCATAATTTATGGACAAATTCAGGTTATCTCCCTTAGATTTTTTTTTTAAAAGGTGCAAAAATAACAAACTAAACTTGTTTATTTATTTAAGAATTTCATACATGTTGCAAATCACTTTGTGTATTATGAGAAATTCTCAAGTAAAATTATAAATACAAATAGTAATACTATTAAAGGTACAAAAAAAATGAATTTAACTGGAAAGTGTAGAAAATATTATGCCATATTGGCCATGACAACAATTAGTTGATTTTTATAGATGCCTTTGGACAGGGCTGTATATGCCAGAGTCAAACCATACAAATGCTTACCATGTCTCATATTCTAATATTACAACAGCATGCTTGGTAGATTTGAAAAGAGGACTTTGTTTTGTCATTGATGTAGGGTATTTGAGCTTTCGCTTGTTTTTATTTAAGAGACTAACTTGTGAGAGATTTTTTTATGAAATTGAAGTTAACCTCCAGAGAATTTCAAAGTTTTTACCACAGTTATAAGCAATACATGTATTATCACTCTTTTCCTATGGAGAATTATATAGATTCCTGCATTTAGTTGGATTATTTGTTTAAATTAAATTTAGAGGAGTTTTTTTTAAATTTAAGGATTGCTGAGCTGTTACCATTATTTTGAAAGTTATAACATTATTTCATATGAATTTATATTGGCCAGACCAATTTTTAATTTCAATATAAATATCAACTTTCAATCATAAGAAAAATATAAACACCATGGATACAAATTGCTTACATATAAAAAGTGAAATAGTTTACTGTAAATTCAGAAATTATTGTGTGCATTTATTGTTGCAATTTTTGAAGAACGGACAAAAATGAGAGATTAATTATTGCAATTTCAAGAAAATCAGCATACAGTTATATGTATAAGATATCAGAATGCAAGTTCTTATTATTGTGATACTCACCCAGTTGCATTATTCACATTAATAAAAACCTCGTAATAATTTCTGAGTTTACAGTATTGTTTGTTCCACAATTGTTTGGAATACTGAATTTTAAAAGTCTAAAAATAGAATTTTCTTTTTTTATAGATGAGTGATGTTGAGGCAGGTGGTGCTACTGTCTTCCCATATATTGGAGTTAAAATATTCCCAAAAAGGGTAGGTTATCTCCATCTTTGTTTTACATGATACCTGAATTAGTTTCATTCGTTTAATGATATATTACTGTCAAATTGATTATGGTTTTTGTAATAAAGATTAAACAGACTTGTTTTGAAAAAAGAATTCTTTGGAAAAAAAAGTAAATGAATTCCTTTGTTTATGCAGACATTGTAAAGTATGCATGAAAATTAGTTCATATATTTTTATAACCTCTTCCAACAGGTATTGCAATAAGTAATGAGATACAAAACTTAATTTTTCTATCTGTAGATAAAATAAAATGCTGGTCTAAGTTGATTGAAGTGTTAATTGAAATTTACATACCAATAGCATGAGGTAGAGTTAAGTTTTGGTTCTTGACAAGAATTTCAATCTTCAAGATAGAGTTTACAACTTACATATCAAGGAGACTTGTTCTCATGCCACCTAGGGGCATTATGTTTTTCGGTCTGTGCATCCGTTCGTTCGTCTGTCCCACTTCAGGTTAAAGTTTTTGGTCAAGGTAGTTTTTGATGAAGTTGAAGTCCAATCAAATTGAAACTTAGTACACATGTTCCCTATGATATGATCCTTCTAATTATAATGCCAAATTAGAGTTTTGACCCCTATTTCACAGTCCACTGAACATAGAAAATGATAATGGGAGTGGGGCATCTGTATACTATGGACACATTCTTGTTACAATTTTGATTTGCTGTAAAACCTACATTAGTTCAATCCACCACTTTCATTCAAAAGTGCTGACTCCACGTAAGAACTACAATAGTACATCATCAAAGAGCAGCATTTGATGGTATTGAATATCACACGTAGCCCTTGAAAATTTGTACCATAGACACTAAAAAGTTATTGAATTTTGATGTGAAAAAAATCTTTCCCAACTATGATTAAAACTGCGTGAAAAAGAAAATACTTATATATATATATTTCTGCAAGAATGCAATTAGTTTAAATTCTGAACATCATTGTGAAAGTAAAGTTTATTTTTCAGGGAATGGCAGCATTTTGGTATAACTTGTATAAAAATGGAGATGGTATTTATGACACACGGCATGCAGCATGTCCAGTCTTAGTTGGTACAAAATGGGTGTCAAATAAGTGGATCCATGAACGAGGACAGGAATTCCGGAGACCATGTGGTTTAACAGCAGATGACTAAAGGAGACGAAAAGGAAGATTATTTATGACGAAATATGTGATTCCATTCATTAACAATCATTATATATGTATATATGGTAAAAAGTCACGATTATGCATTGTTATTGGAAGTGTTTTTGCAAATTTGAGTTATTTTTAATGCATTTAAATGAGTTATCATTAATGAATTTTGATAGGCCTTTCTTATTTACACAGTTCCTTAGAAAGAGCTAATGTGTTTTCACTGGAAAACTTTTAGTATAAAATGCTTATATTTGCCTGAGGAAATCTATAATCTTGCAACTCAATTTGTTGTTAGCGTGTCTTTATGAATTGCATGTAAGGATTGATATCAGAATTTATTTGTTGCATTTTTCGTTGCAAATTTAATTTTCTTATGATGTCAACGGCAGCATGAATATATTATGGAAACACAGTTACTCCAAATAGTTTTCATAGCTAAATATTAAATTTAGTATGTTAAAGACAAGATTATTATTTACTTGTGACAATGTTGTTAGGATTATCTGTTTTTGAAAAGTAAATGATGATTAGAATTGATAAAGTTTTCAGTTGGTGAAATAATGAAATATTATATTATTATTATAAGTCAAACAAGGAATTTTATTTTTTTTTTATTTTATCATATTGTGTTCTTTTTATGATATTAAAGGACAATGTCATTTTAGTAATTCAAATATTTATATATATTTGAGCGAGAATACAAACCTCAATTTTTCTTTTTCATTTTTTAGTGATATTTGAAAAAAATTATGTATGACCAATATATTAGAATGAAATGAATTATTGACTACTAATCTGTTATACTCCTCCAAATATTTAAAAAAATCAATAATGTTTTTTTTGTTTGATTTGCCAACACTTAGTTAATGTTTAAAATATGTCTCAATGTTATCATAAAAATCCTCATATTTCATTATTTTCCCTTGGCCAGGGGAGGGAGTAAAGAATTCTTTTTTGTTCATCAATTCTGTTTTCCTGGTTTAGCTTTATGTTAGGTCAATTCTTAGGAACTCAAATTACAGGGTTATTTTATATTTGTGATATAAAATATTAGAATATATCTTTGAAATTACTATGGGTAATTCATAAATTATATCAACTGGATATATATTTTACAAATTAGAGACTGGTTAAATTTTTCGTTATGCTTCAGATCTAGGTTAATACCAGTAGCAGAGCAATGCTTTTTTGCCAGAAGATGCATCTTGGAAAAAAGAGGAGGGTAATGTGAAAATTGGGCTACCTGTCTATATTTTATGCTTGAATGACTCTTGAAAGTTCTGTTGCTATGCAACTATACTGCATTGAGTCATTATATTTGGTATTAGGTCACAACTTAGAGAGTAACAAAGGATCATTCAAAATTATAAATTATGTCATCTTGACTTACATTTCATATAGGAGTGACTAATTAAATTTTGCATTGAAATCCAAATTTATATATCTTCCAGTGGGATAGCAATGATAATTGACGTGTGGGTACATCTTGGATGTTTATGACAATTTTGCAACCTTGACTTATAGTTTATGTTTGAATGATTCGTTTTCCTCTTTGATAGCTACAGATCAAAACCACTGCAAGTAATGCATGGACTATATGTTTCACCTATGCGAAAACAAGATAACATTTATAAAGGTCCATAAAAATACTTTGTAATTATTACATATTTTATATTAGTGACTGATAAAAATCTTCATTTTTTTATAAGATCTAAGCACGTCTAAGTAACCTGTTTTTCTTTAGTTAAATGTCTGGTATCAAATTTTAATTACCAAAAGCTATATTTTATGCATGAGTAACTGAATTTTTTTGTTAATGGTCCTAATTTAAGATTTGTCAAGACTTTTCATCAGTAGATATATTAAGTATTGTGTAATAACTCAGTCACCTTGACCTTGATATTGAAATTAACTAAAAAACAGTACAAGGGGATAAGCTGACATTCAAATTGTCAGTTTCAAAAGAGTTTTTCTTTGAGTTCTTTTTGTCTATTTTAAATGGATACAACATTAAGTTGAAGTTTTAATAATAGCAATATTATTCACAAATTTGTAAGCAATATAACAAAAGTTGGCAACATAAACTATCACACAATAAAAAAAGAAAGCTTTTAGCATTAAATTATGAAAGTTGTATGGATAACTTGTTTAAGTGCCTTGTTGACAAGAAAAAACATAAAACACACATTTTTAGAAATCAATGCACACAATGATATAACAAATTTAAACTTATTTTAAAAATTGATGACAGAGAACCTCTTGTTTTCTCTTTGTTACTGTAAATTCAGAAATTATTGCTTGCATTTATTATTGTGATTTTGTCATTTTAGACTAAAATGCGATTTTAATTTTTGTGATATTGAGAAAAGTCCTGTTTAATTCATATAAAAAATTACAATTGTTTAAATTATTGCGATTATAACCCTGTTGCATTTTTCGCAATAATAAAAACATCGCAATAATTTCTGAATTTACAGTATTTATGTTGCTTAATGTATCCAGTTGCTACTTCTATGTAAAACTTAAGGTCTAAATGAATTAGGTTTGATTCTGCATTTTAATCACTTTTTGCAAGATACAAAGTAGTTTTTCTTTGTTCCATTTGTGTTTCTAATGATAATTTTTTATTGGGCAGCATTTAAAATATTCATAACATAAATTTCATGATTGATGTCATCAGAGTATATTGCTTGTAGTTGAATCATTTCTGGTTATGAAAATTTATTGTTCTTCAAAGTTGTATTAGTATAGATAAAGCAATATTACACACACACTCATGGAGTGGGTGGTTACTGCAACCTCTATGATAGTCTGTTCGTTCATCCACATGTTTGTCTGTCAGTAATTTTTGTACGATATATTTCTGAGATTCTGTTGTATTAGAATTCAATACATTTATACCTAGCTTGCTTATACAATTATCATTTTTTATTTGTTCTTTAAAAACTCATGACTAGGAAATTCTATACTTTTGCATTTTTTTAATTTCCTGAGTATTAAATACCAAAGAATATTTTTATATATATATATCTACTGTTATATTTCTGTTACATGATCTTGTGTGGTGTTTTTTAATCTTGTTTTAGCTTTAAATCTACTAAAAATCTTTAGATTGGATTTAAGAATATACATGTTCTTTTCTATTTATTTTGTGGTTAAGTTTATATTTCATATAAACTGATTTTATTGCAAATAGACTTGTATGATATATACCTCTATTTTTTTTTGCCAATGATAAGCCACATACTATTGTGTAACAAGAAAATTTTATCATTCATTTCACCAAATTTTAAGTTGCATTGATGACATTTTTTGGTGTTCGAAAACTAACATTAAAAACACAAATTTTCTTTTAGTGAATTTAGAAACTGATCTTTTAGCACTCTTTTATATGAATGTTTGGTTATCTTTAACTATGAAGTTCTAAAATCTACAAAGTTTGATATGAACCATGGTATATATATAGTAGTTGTAGTGATTATTTTAATGCTTTTATAAATGCTGATATATCTTATGTTAAATATGATAATCAGAAAACAAAACTGTGATGTATTTTTATATTTTATGTGTACATAAATATGTTGGAATGTCTGACAGTCTTTCAACAAAAGAGTTTTATTCTTTTGTTATATCAATTTTACCAATGAAAACATAATTTGTGCCATTGAAAATATTTTAGAAAAAAATCTTGCCTTTATTCTGATATATCCTATAAATAGTGAATTGTGCCATATGAAAATTCTTATTTTGCCAATGTATAAATCACAACTGTCATCTTTACCCAAATTTGTTGCCTTCAAAGAGGGTCTTGATGAGAGATTACAGATTGGTGAAAAATGAGCAAAAAAATTAGAGAATAGAGAATAATGGGGTGCAAAAGTGTAAAAAAATAACTTTTCAAAATTAAAAAACTAGGTTATACAATGATAAAGAAATCACATAATTTCAGACAGAATTAATTGTAAAATCATTTACATGAGATATTTTAATAGAGGATAATCATTATTTTTGAAGATAAAAAAAATGCCCTAAAAATTTTAAGAGTACAGAAGTTTAGGACCCCCATCTAGACCCTCTTTAAAGGAGAGAAAAAAATACAGGTTCTATCTATATATATGTATGAATGGTTAATGTTTGTTTTTATAAACCATGATCCAGAAAAGTTTCACCATGAATAAAAATGAAAACTATCATTTGGAAAAAGAAAATTTTAGATGAAGAATTTCAATCATAATTTGGATGCTATATTCATTTAAATCCAACATTATATATATAAAAAAAATAGAATTTACTTTAGGTGTAGTATTTTTTATTGTCAGATACCAACATTTGCAAGAAGGCAAAAAGATGTTAAAATATTTGCTCTCATAATTTTTTGAATATTCCTCTTCCGTCTTAAGGTCCCCTTACTTTTATAATCTCTAAATTTTACATTGACTGTTTATGTTTCGTATATTGTTGAGTTTGTTATAAATTGTGTTTGTTGATATTGAATCTCAGATCAAAGATCTACAAAATGTTCACCAAAGATAAATCATTATTAAACATGTGTTTTATTTATATCCAGCAATGCCTAAGAAATACAGGTACTGATGTATAGAGGAGTGAAAAATCGTTGTACATGATACATAGAAGGAAACATTTACTCTGGGTCAAGATTGCACATTTGTTGTAAAGGTAGAAGATGTATTTGATAAATTTAAATCTCTTCAAAATGGTCATCATTAGAAGGTATCGTTGTTATTGATAAAAATAAATGTAAGCTAAACGTAAACCAAAAATTCTTTAAGACCAATCATACGAGTAGATCTAAATGAAAGACATCTTAACTTACAATTCTTGTAATTGTTGGAACTTTAAAGACCTTTTGAACATAAGTAAGAAATTAAAAAACTTAATCGATTTTCGAAATTGAAAATACAAAAAACTGTTTTAAGCATTGCCTTTTCCTTTAACAATGCATATTCGTTTCTTTCTTTTTTAAAAGTTTTTATAATACTTTTTTTTAATTTTTTAGTAGTGTTTCATTACTCCATTTAAAGCTTGAAATTGCCCATGATGCTGGCAAGGCATTTTGAAATAATACATAAATATGTATTAAACTTGCATGCTAAATTCAAATTTAAATGGGATGAAATGCACTTTCTTCTAATATTTGCAGCACTGCTGTAATGTAATTGTTTTTATAGCCATATAATGCATGGTTATGTAAGAAAATAAAAAAGATCTCCATTTGCATGCTGTCACATAAGTTAGTACTAGACATCATAAATAGATACGACAATGTAAGTGTAATAAGTGATAAGCAATCAACAACCATATGAAAAGAAAGTATTTTTGTCTAAACAATATTTTCCAGAAAAATTTTGATAGAACTAATAATGTATGTTTTAAAAGTTTTGTTTTTACTTTAAGTTTAATTCAGTGCACAACCAAAAAAACTACATTAACAAGGATGATAAAAGAAAAAGAAATATTTTCATGCAAAATTATTTTTGTCTGAACAAAAGCTTTGTTAAATGTTACTCTGAATCTTGAACACAAGTGTTTGGTATTATAGTGTAAGGAGTGGAAAACATCTTTAATGAACAGCTAACAACTGCATTTAGTTAAATCATCACACATGAATCTATTGTTACCAAAATTTTTCTGTGATACTGATGTGGAAATATTAAATGACAATTGTTATTGATTTAAATAAATGTCAATTTTTTTAATGAATTATGTTTGGAACATCCAAGGTGATATTATTTTGTAATAAAATGTTGACAAGCATTGCAAAATGATGTTGTCTTTAATTTTGTTTCCCCTTCAAGGAAAGTCGCAGAATTCAAGACAAGAATTACATTTCGGCGTTGGTCACAACTTAAACTATTTGTTTAAAGCTTTTCATTTAAGGGTGTAATAGACCGTGTTACAAAGCTTCAAATTTGTCATATGTCCATTCATTGTCCTGGACTTCATTTACATGGAGATTTTTATGTCATGTAAAGGAGTAGGCCCGGTAAGATCCCTTTTTGGCCCCTAAATATAGCGTTTTTACAAAGTTGTTGAAAATGTCACTTTCAGCTATTTATTGGAAAGTAGAATACTTTTGTTACATGAATATGGGCTGTTTTTGTGACAATGGACATGCATCAGGTACTAGCATCATAATTTCATACAAAAATACTGAAATCTTGTATTTGATGATAATACATAACATATATAAATGTTGAGACTGAACACGAATGTGGCCACTTCCATTTTAGACGAAAACCATCTGAAAATGGATAGATTTAAGAATGTCTGATTCTTATGAATATAGAAGACTTTTTTAATGAAAAATTGTATGAAAGCTTAGTTTGGACATTTTTATAGCAATTCCAAATTATTACCTATCACCTTTAGCACGACAATAATAAAATTTCTATAGAAACTGTTAGACTGATTTTTCATAATAACATTGAAGTGGAGCTAAAGTCTTATAGGATTGTAAGTATGCTTTATTTTATCACCTTGCACTTTCACGACTTGACTGTGGTTTTCTACAACAGTTTCTTCAAATTTCTGACCAGATGAACAGTTTGGTTTTATAAAACAAATTGCAATTTGGTCAGAATTTTGAACAAGTTGCAATAGGTGGAGAGCAACACTAACAGTCAAGTCTCAGTAACGTGAAGTCCCTTTTTGATTTATATAAATTTTAGATTTTAAGTTTCCGAGTTATGAGGTTTTATTCATTAGAAAAGGGTGAATTTCAAGTTTTCTGACAATAACTTTTTGTTGAGTGGTTTATATCTATTAAAATAACCTCCGTTTAGTTTTTTTTTATGAATTTCTGATATGACGTTTAGGAGTTATGGAACATTATTCTTTAAAAAACGACGGGCGTATCATGCACTCATGGCTCAGCTGTTTATTTGCCTTTTATTTTGGCCAATTATCCCGAAAACTTGAATAGATAGAGTGAAACCGTAAACAGTAAAATAGATTACAAATCAACATCTATGTAAATAAAAATAAGCCAACATGTTCGAAATTGTTGATCGACTCCTCAAATGAGATATTGTAATTGCATTACACGTTTTGTCAATTTTTGTTTGTGCTTTTGGCTTTTTCTGGAAAACTATAATCGATAGAAAGATAGGAGCAATAATTATCAACAAGATGATATATTAACATAAGTCTTAAATGTCAAAAACTGTAACTTAATTTAAGGAAATATTACCCATACATGATTTTTTTTTCTTCAATTTTTGGTATTTTGTGGAAGTTCCTGGAAAACTGTAATAGAAAGAGAGAAACTGAAAACAGTTAAAGTGTTTAGCTAGATATGATCTACAAATAAATCAAATGAGAGAAGTTGGCAACTCATTCCTTTTAGGAGGTATTGCACTTAAATAACGATTTTGACCCCAGTTTTTTTGTTTTTGAAAATTATTCTTAAAAGTATACTACCTATTACACACAAAGAGAATCTGTAATCAGCAAAACTGATCAGCAATATAAGATCTACAAATAAACCAACATGACCGAAATTTTCAAAAGAATGCTTGTTGGACCTCAGATGACAATTATTTCCTTGAAAACTGTAAAAGATAAAGAGAAAACAATAAAAATTATCAGTAAGATACGATCTACAAATAAGGAACGTAACCGTTTCAAATAAGTAAAATTGAATGTCATAAATTCATGTTTGACAGCTGAGCCATTCAGAGTCTTCGGAGCATTTGTTAATCTTTTTATACGCCCGTCATAGATGGGATATATTACGACAAACCCTTGTATATCCGTCCGTCCATCCACCCGTCAGCATTTCCGTCGGCCCAGATGTCGTTCGAAAGCTAGAGAATGCTTTGATCTAATTTCACGAAACTTGTATAGAGAATTTGAAATAGTGGAAAAACCTTTTTGATTTATTTGTTTACCGTTTGCCGTTACAGAGTAACGACACTTTAACTGCCAGTCTGAAGATCTTACATATCGCGCATTTACTCAAGTATGATTGGATTGATTTACATTAAACTTTCGATTTTGATATTTTCTCGTTATTCATTCCAGATTTATTGGACGAAAATGGTCAAATTTAACTAGATTTTTTCACATGTTGCGAACTTTCATGAGTATTCTTCGATTAAATGACTCCAAACTTTACTTCTTATTGGGATTTGTTAAAAGAGCGTTCCTTTCAATTTGAGGAAGTTCATTCCAGAGTCGTAGTTGTTATCACATAGTCCGTTTCTATGTATGTTGGCGTTTGTTTTTGTAGCAGTTCAGTGTTTCTATTGTTCCGTTTTGTTTCCTCTTATAGTTGGTGTGTTTACCTCAGTTTTGGATTGTGACCCGGATTTGTTTCAGTTAAATCGATTTATGACTATTGAACAGCGGTATACTACTGTTGCCTTTATTTATACATACTTCTTTCAATCAGTTTAATTGAAGTCTGGAGCTGGCATGTCAGTTAACTGCTAGTAGTCTGTTGTTATTTATGTATTATTGTCATTTTGTTAATTTTCTTTGGTTACATCTTCTGACATCAGACTCGGACTTCTCTTGAACTGAATTTTAATGTGCGTATTGTTATGCGTTTACTTTTCTACATTGGCTAGAGGTATAGGGGGAGGGTTGAGATCTCATAAACATGTTTAACCCCGCCGCATTTTTGCGCCTGTCCCAAGTCAGGAGCCTCTAGCCTTTGTTAGTCTTGTATTATTTTTAATTTTAGTTTCTTGTGTACAATTTGGAGTTTAGTATGGCGTTCATTATCACTGAACTAGTATATATATTTGTTTAGGGGCCAGCTGAAGGACGCCTCCGGGTGCGGGAATTTCTCACTGCATTGAAGACCTGTTGGTGACCTTCTGCTGTTGTCTGTTCTATGGTCGGGTTGTTGTCTCTTTGACACATTCCCCATTTCCATTCTCAATTTTAGTATTGTTGTCTGATCTGTTATATTGCCGATTGTATCCATTCCTGATTATGACATTTTGACTTATTGTGGATTCCCATGTCAGGGGCTGCATGCATAACAGATCACAGCAGGAGACGCTAACTCTGTCGACACACCAAGTCATAGCCCTTTTAGAGTTCATGCCATTTCCTCAGTTTTTGTTTGTTACCTTGATTTGTCTCGTCTTCAACGAGATTTGAATATCAGTCCTTAATTTATTAGACCTTAACAGTCAGATTAAAGGCACATGTTGCGCACTAACTCAAGTATGCTTGTATCAATTTACTCTAAATATTACACCGTTGTTTGGAGTTGTAATAATAAACTCCCTGTCAAATTGAATTTTTTTAAGTTTCATTTTCAAAGTTAATGAATAATCAAAGCTTAAGCCATTTGTTGTACACCTAAGGATATCCCCTGAAAGATTTTCACATGTAATTTTACTGAATTCTGATTGAATGCGTTTCAATCTTACCCCTCTCAGAAACAAAAGCAGACACCCCAAATAATGTTTTACTTAAGCACACTGATATTTTTTTTTCATTAGCAAGATAAAATAACAAATCCATTTGCATATAATTATTAAGCATTGTTAAATTTTCCACATGACTTGCAATATAAGATTAGTATCTACTTTCAATATAACACAGCAGTGCTTTTTTAAATTTACTTTGTCAACAAATACACACGTATATAGATATAAGAAGATGTGGTATGAATGCCAATGAGACAACTCTCCATCCAAGTCAAAATTTATAAAAGTAAACCATTATAGGTCAAAGTACGGTCTTCAACATGAAGCCTTGGCTCACACCGAACAGCAAGCTATAAGGGCCCCAAAATGACTAGTGTAAAACCATTCAAACGGGAAAACCAATGGTCTAATCGATATAAAAAACGAGAAACGAGAAACATTTATGAACCACATCAACAAACGACAACTACTGAACATCAGATTCCAGACTTAGGACAGGTGCAAACAATTGCAGCGGGTTTAAACGTTTTAATGGTACCAAACCTTCACCCTTATCTGAAACAATAGTGTAACATCACAACATAGAAAGACATACTATAAAATATCAATTGAAATGGCTTAACTCAATAAAAAGACATTTTAACACCAGTGAACATACACTGAACAATGCTTGAAAATGACAACTTATACCAGAAGTCGAGTGACAGTGAGATCTTTACTACTATTTACCGTAAAAGGGTAAGAAATGAATATCACGGCTTATGATTGCAACACCTTTGAATTGTAAAATTGGCCTCGATGTCAATTTTAGTTCATTAAAATTCAGTAACTATATTGTACACAGTTCAAAGTAAAAATAATCTTTTATCTCCAACATTTGTGAAAAACTGAATAATCATTTACATATTCTCTATTCATAATAAACAATACAGGTTCGAAATATTCTATTTTTAATTACCGCTAACAGATTTGTGCATTTACTTAGCAATATTAAAATGTGACATTATTAGTGGGTTCAATAATAATAGTTCAAGACATGCCTTTTGAATATTCAACAATAGATTTTGAAAGTGAATGTAAGTCCTTGTTTTACAAAAGTTATAATTGATATATATTTATTCAATGACGATTCAAAATAAATAAAAATATTCATATGTCAAACACGTCATCTCCATCATAGATAATATGAATCAACATGTTCGTTCTTAAATAGTACTCGGTAAAAGTCAGTGTATATTTAAAGCCTATCAGACAGAGAATTGTTTCCCATTATTAAGTATAGGATATGTCAAATTAAAAAAAAAAAAAAACTTTCCAGAAAACGAAGTCGTATCAATAAATGGCTACATATAACATTATAACATTTGTTTTGTTTT